AAAATCTCATAACTAAGTTTTAAGGCTAAGTTTTGAGATATTCTGATAACTTACAGAGAAATAAAGAGACCAAAACCTCAACAGCAAAATTTGACACAAAAGAAATTTCAAAGTATCAAACACATTTAAATGACGTAAGAGTTTCCCTGTCGTCTACAACAAATATAAATTGTTCCAACGAAAAGAAATTCCAACAATTGACACAAAGTTATTGTAACACCCAGAGAACAGCGCACATTCCCACTACACGTCTGACCATAATTGCCAGAGTTAAGGTTTAAGACTTAAGAATACTCTCAAAAGTAGCCCTCTATCATCTGCTCATTTACTACACTGATAAGTACAGTAAAGATTAGACACGAGAAGCATTCCAGCTATTAGTGAGCGTCTCAGGCTGCATGTGAAATCCACCTTATCACAGCCTGTTTGTTGTCAGTTACCCACAACTATCTCCGCTCTTCCTCCCCTCTTGCCTCATTCTGACAGTGCACAGACTACTGTAAAATGACAGAATCACAGATAACAGCGGTGACGTAGAGACGAAACTCTACACTTTCTTTCTGTACTTTCAGAATATCTAGTCTTTAATGCACATTTTAGATGAAACAGACAATTGTTCGAAATATAACTTTATATTGGCCCTTGTACTTTTAACGTTGGTGAGGAATCTGTTCGCAGGCATGTCCTCCTTTTAATTCCAGACCTGCCCTCTCTTTTCTTCAACTATCTTAACTTCAAGGAAAGTACAAATAAAGTTATTCGAGGGGTTTTTCACATCAGATTTATTTACTGGCCTTTCAAATAAAACGTATTTTCTCTTGAAATTCACCAAAATCACCACAAAAAAGTTATATACAAACTATATTCAACACCACGTTGCTCCAAAACTGAATTTCAAACTGATCCGTGTTATTCACCGCTGCAATCAATGTCTTCATATTAAATTACATTTGGATAATAATGATTGCTCTTTTGTAAAAGTGATACAGAAACAGCGGCCCACTATGACTCACATGACTGGTTAGAAACTACAATATTTGGTTAGGCGAGCTTTTCATGTCATGATATAATTTTTTGTTCTGTACTCAATATGATAAAGATACAACTACAAACATCATCATCTTCCAAAGAGAACACTTTACCATCTCTTCTTCCTGTCCTCCTGACTAGCCTGCATCCCAGAAATCACATAATTTCCTGAAGGTTTTAAGATTCGCACTGAGTGGGTGCACTTGCATGAATATCTTAATATGATGTCAAGCCAGTGCAGCAATATGAAGGCTTCTTTCAAGCCAATCCCACATTTCACTGACAGTTAAACAGGTTTCATAGCAGCACTGCTCTGCAAATGGTCAGTATTGTGTACCATTACACAACAGCACATACCTGGGGATTAACCATAGGCCCTGTCCTGTCTGTACCGTAAGACTGCAGGGGGCCAGTAGCTATTGTCACAGCTGTGCCACAACACACACAAAAATTCAGCAAATCACAACTTTAGTGCTCCGCTGCCAAAAACCCCTGCAGCGCTGAGGCCACTGGCATCTGTCAGTAAACCTGTAGGTGTCATCGTGCATCGATTTTACTTCTAATACCTCCGCACCTTGACAAGAATATCATTTGGAAAATGATGACGTCTATGAGCACTTTTACGCTGCGGCGCTGTCACATGAAACATTCATCCTCCACTAACTAGTAGTTTCTACATGGCCATCCAAGCCACTAACCATCCACTTCCTGACACCAAAAGACAAATCAGGATGCAAGAGAACATCCATATCCACATTTAACTTCATCTTTTAATTAAGTCCTTCCGAATCGTGGAATCACATAATTATTCAGAGGCGGTTTATAAAAACTGTACAGTAGGAAAAAGAAACTCCAAGCTCTTAATGATTTCTTTGCATGATATTCAACTTTCTTGTAAAGTTTGACTAAAAAAAAAAAAACTAAAAAAAAACACAGTTTCTCTGTCCAAAACATGGAGGATGGAATTTAATTTAAGGAGATAAGATCAGTATTGTTTGTTCTGTTGACTCCATTTCCCATTTTATGGGACGAATTAAAAAGTTAAGCTCATTTCACATAAACAAAATTGCAAAGAACAACACAAAGCACTTTCTTCTCAGTCTCACTCCTGCTACTGTTAGCAATAGTGAGTTAATGAGGGGAAATGCAAAACGCGGGGAAGCTGAGCCTTTGAGGCCAAAGCCTCGCTCATATAATGGCCTACTAAAGAAAGGGGAGCTTTGTTCGGTGCAACACAAGCAGGTTCCTCTTTAATGACTTCATGTGCATGCCGGTCACTTACGCCATACAACACTTTTTCAGGACATCCCGATCATGTGAGGTTGCAGCACGTGATTTGTTGTTCACCCCCGAAAAACAAGCTGAGATTTGGTTGAGCAGGTAACACCTTGGCGGACGGGGGGGGGACGACGACGGGGTCATTCCCATTTTTAGACTATGTTAGCGACTGTAGGAACAGCGTGCACAGGAGCTCACAGGAGCTGCTGTGGATGTAGTCAGAGTCAGAGCACTGAGGGTAGTTACCTCAATTATCAAGAGAACAAAACAGCATGTTTGAAGAGCCACTGCACTTTTCAAACACTGTATTTATGTTTTTAAAGAACAATGAAATGTTTTCTGGGATAAAGGCCCTGGTAAGTGTTGTAGCCTTCTTCCCAAGGCTGCAATTTAACAGAAACAACAACTACGAGGACTGAACAGCACAGCTACAGCCCCTTGGTATTAGAGTCAAAGCATGGTGAACTTACAGCTGCTCTTTACTTCCCTGTGTCAGTTAGAAACAGCAGAAGTAGCAGCTTATAGCAGCATTGTGTTCACGACTGATGATAACTTCCAATAAAATGTAACGCTGATATTTTGGCTCTGGTTATTTCGGATAAAACTGTCCTACTTTAAAATCACTCTAGCAGGTATGACTATTTTTATCTTATCCAAAAATAATAATAAGAGGGGTTAGATATAAAGACAGAGGAGTTATTTTACTGCTGATGTATATTTCATGACAGGAGGGTTAAAAACTGCAGTGTGGAAGTTGCTCTTTCTCCCTCCATGATGCCTCAGCTGGTCTACATCTAAAATCTGCTGCAGTATGACACAGAAGAGGTTGTCCTCTCAGGCCCAGGACTGTATCCACTGATGTCTCTCCCTCAGTTTTTAAACCAAATAATCTTGTAAATATTCATCCGCCTTTAATTGTGACTGATGAACAACAACAAATAAGAAGACTGGACCAACATGAGGCCTTCCCTCCTCCGGTCCGACAGGATGTACAAGGTGACAAAACCTGAAGTCAGTAACCGACATGCGCACCTTCATTAAACATAACACGCCATTACAGTATTCAAAGTAGAATTACAAAGGCGGATCGTCTCATTCCAAAACCTGCAAACATCCCTTCAACCTTTCAAACCACGGCTTCAGTCTTTTCAGGCGGTGTCGGTGATATCTCTGAACGCAGACACAGCTCTCTCCGATGTGACACAAACTGAGGCCGGTCTTTTAGAAATAGCGAGACAGCGGGGGCCTGTGGGGGTGTCAGATGTCGACGGGGACCAGTTGCCGGAGTCTCGGGCCTGGGCCGCCTCTCATTGCTCACAGCAGCTGTGTCTTCTCAGACCTCACATTCCTGCAGGACAGGCCCACTTTACTCTCATCACCTGTGCTGATCTGAGGGCCGGGGCGAGCTCTCGGGAGGGGAACCTCACAGCTCCTTGAATTAAAGTCATTTCCTTTAACTTTTGGCAGTCGTGAAAGGATACAGGGATCTTAAAAAGAACAATTTCACTACATTATAGGACAGAAAGTTGGACACAGAGAAGCAGTACGATAGGAACTTATTCAGCTCTAATAACCACAGAAAACCTGTGACACAAATACAGTGATGGGACCACGAATGCATCGTCCAGCATGCTCCCAATCTGCTTCTCTCACACTGCTGACAACTCTACAATAATAAAAGCATTAGATAACAAACAAGGCATAAACCTCACCATTAAGCAGTAAAACACAATGTAGGATACAATACAAATCTTAAAAAAGGTACAATAAAGGCTCCTTGCACAGAATCTGCTGCTGTTGAGTATGCCTGAAGTCGATTCTCTGTCCACTGAGGCAGAGATGTACACCCATGATTCAGCAGCTTCTTCACCCCATTAGACCTCCCCGTACGATTACAGCTGCTTTGCAGTCTTCATTGCCCTCGCTGCATTATAAGCTGTACTGTCTGACCTCCACTAAATAATACATGTAAACATTTACCCCACCCTACTGCAGCCAAACGCTCAAAAAAAACAGCACACAACTTCTCCCGAATCCTTTACCAACATTTATGTTTAAAATGAATTATTGATGTCCGTTCTGGAAGAGTTTTCACTAGGTTTCCTTTCATTTGTGCTGCATCATCCTATAGGTATTCTTAGCTTTATGGGTGCCTTGTTTCTTTTAATGTAGAACATCAATCTGCCCATGAACTACATATTAAAATGAGCCTTTTGGGATAAATCTGACACATTTACATCCTATTAATGCTTCTTAATGTGTCATCCCTCACAAATAATTTTTTTTACAGGGCTGTGGTCCTTCAGTGTCACATTTCATAAGGATAATATTGGTGGCTTTAGATGTAGAGTAAGCAGTCTGTAGCTGCACTGTGAAATGTCAATGAGCAGCAACTTTTTACACACACACACACACACACACACACACACACACACACCTCTGATTGTCACTATTCATTCAACAAAAGCACCACACACACACACACACCTTTTAAAAGCATGGCAACTGGAAACAAAAACCCATCCTGCAACTTTCTTGATTCACTGCTGCTTCCAGTCCAAAAAAAAGCTCCCTCTTCCCCGTGTGCAGCAGACCACAGACACCACAGGGTCCAACTACCCCAAACATCACACACACACACACACACACACACACACACACTCTCTCACACACACACACACACACACACTTACCTCCAGACGTGCACGCTGAAGTAAAGTGGGACTCAAGTTTGTCGTCTCTTCTCAGGATGGGATGCAGAGCCACACACACACACACACACTCTCCCTCACACACACACACAGACACAGACAGACAGACAGACAGACACAGACGCACAGACACACACACACTTGTAGCCAGACAAAATGCCTAAGTCTCTATTTAATTCCTTGCATTCCCACTGATTTAATTTGTTTCCTCCTTTCTTCCGCCGCTCGCCTCTGGACAACTCCTCCGAAATTCAAGTCCTGGCGCAGAATATCAGCGCATGTATTTAGTTTTTTGTTTTTATCCGTGCGTGGTTCGCCGTCTGAATGTAATTTAAATTTAAAAAAAAAAAAAAAAAAAAAAGCAGTCCTTCGCAGCTCGGTGACGGTCGCTGAAAAACTCTACTTTGCCTTGCTAATCAGTGCGGCCGCTGTGGGACGCGCATCGGGGCGCGTTCACGCTGCTCATGGGCGGGGACAAGACACAGAGAGGGGGAGGACGGAGCCAAGCCCCCGGGACCGGGACCGGAGCCGGACCCTGGGGGGGGTGGCGTAGTGGCCGCGGGGAGTATTGCAACTTCTGCGTTTAAAGCCCCCCCCTCCGCTCAAATAGAGCTCATTTGCTATATTTAATAACTCGGAAAAAGGCTGTAAAGTGTTAAATACAAATTTTCTGAGCTGCTTAACCGAGCTGTTGGTGGAGAACTCTAGTGCGCATGCGCCGGTTCGTCAGCAGCACGGTAGCGACGTAAACTGTCACACCACCTGTTTTTAGATTATAGCTACACCAAATGTGAGCGTCTCTTTTGAGTTTAAATACGACTGCGATGGCGGGAGTGGCGTTGAGCTTTGCATACGTGGCGGTGTTTCCTCTCATAAAGCGGTAAAACGTAAAGGACGGAAGACTTTTCTCTCCGCACACGTACCGAAACGGATCGGCAGCTCTCTCGGTAAACGGACTGCGCATGCGCACTGTCGCAAACCGCTGTAGGTCTTCCAGCCGCGGTTTACGTTAGCCGTTGCAATGAGGGACAAGACTGCGGTTTTCGTGGTCCTTTCCATCTGAATGTGTCTTTTACAGGTATGGATGCGGCATCGACCGTGTGTATATTTATTCGCCGGGCACACGGTTTGTGTTGTACGAGCTAAAATGACCGTTGAGCCGAGCTGTGTCGCTTCGTGTGCCGGTGGAAAGTGGCGGTTGGCTAGCTCATGCTAAAGCTAAAAGCCAGCCTCGGCAGTGAGCTGCCTGCTGGAAAATAAATAAATAAATTAAATAAATAAATAAATAAATAAAGCGATGAACTTTAAACGCATTGCGGTGGTTCAATGTGACACCCTGCTGTGTGCAAGCCAGCGCCGAGCAAACGCAATTACATGTGCGTGTTTTAAATGTAAATATGTGTTCGACAGCTGGATCTAAAGTTAGTTTAATGGTAAAGTTTGATTTTACTTTCTCTCTGTGTCCCCTCCTGTTGAGGGGAGACATCCACTGAGGGATCAATAAGTGGCTTTACACCTACAGCAGTTGTAGTTAAATGCACAAATGTTTAAAGACAAACACAGAAACGGTGTTTAATATTCCGCTGCTGCAAACAACAGTTATTTTAATGAAGGATTCATCAGTGGATGCTTTTTCTAACTCATCATTTAGTGTGTAGAAATGCTCATTGCAGCACTACAACGGAGCTGCAGTGTTGAGAACATGCCGATTACTTTTACTAATTAATAGATTATCTGGTCGGTATGTCATTGCAGGAAATAGTGAAACATTTAAGTTGCAATCTCAATCTCCTTCACCCCAAACTGACTCCAAAAGTTGCTTGTTTGGTTTGACCAACAGTCCAAAATCCAAATAAATGTACTTTTTAATCACGTAAAACAAAGAAAAGCACAATTAAGAAGATGGAATAAAGACATTAGTTGGTATTTTTGCTTGATGAGAGTAAAAAGATAAATGGACTAGGTCAAAGTAAGTTGGTGATTCAGTTTCTGACAGTTAACTTAATCAATTAATCGGCTAAACATTCAACACCAAACTCTTCCTCTGTGTTTTCCAGACCCTCTCTGACTGTGCTGGAGGATGGACCCTGTAGTGCTGAGCTACCGGGATAGCCTGCTGCGGCGATCTGATGTGTCCTTACTGGAAGGACCTCACTGGCTCAATGACCAAGTCATCGGTTTTGCCTTTGAGTACTTTGCTGCTGAGCGCTTCAGAGTCCTGGGGGAGACCATCATCTTCATCAGCCCGGAGGTCACCCAGTTCATCAAGTGTGCTTCTTGCCCCGATGAGTTAGCCCTGTTCCTGGAGCCGCTGGATCTTGCGTCTCGTCGCTGGGTCTTCCTAGCTGTTAACGACAACTCCAACCAGACGGCCGGAGGATCCCACTGGAGCCTCTTGGTCTACCATCACAACTCCAACCACTTTGCCCACTATGACTCTCAGAACGGCAGCAACTCGCTGCACGCGCGGCGCATCGCCAGCAAGTTGGAGCCTTTCTTGGGCGCGGGGAGGAAAGCGCTGTTCGTGGAGGAGCCCTGCCCATCGCAGAAGAACAGCTATGACTGCGGCATGTACGTTATCTGCATCGCCGAGGCCTTATGTGAGAAGGCCAGAGTGGAGGGCTCGCCACGCCTTCCCGTGCAAATCATCACACCAGCCTACATCACCCAGAAGAGGGCTGAATGGTGCAGACTGATCCAGAGTCTAGCTCAGAGTGACCTCTGCTGCGCTCTGTCTTTTCCTTAGCACGTCGATTGCCCCTCGCTATATGCAGAACAGCTGTCAGCCTCTACATATCTACTGCTGGAGCATCTGAATGCACTCCTTGAATACAGTATACACCTAATATATATATATATATATATATATGAAGTATATTTCTATTTCAGTCTCTCCATAATAGAAACAAGTGTAAAAAGATAACGGCAGTGCTACGAATCTTTTAATGACTCATTGAACACTCGGTGTCGTGTTTATCCCTTGTATATGCACTGCAAAATACAATATGTAAACAAGAACACCAGCATGCCTATAAAAGGAATTTACTCCCGTGTACATATTTAGTAAGGATGGCGAATATGTCATGAGGAAGAGGAGGCACAGACTTTATTATTTCTTTTCTCCATTGTTTTAGTTTGGAGCGAATGTAGAAATGTTTACACGGATTATTGCTCAGGGTCATTTTTAAATGAACTAGGATTGACAATAAGAATGTGCATCTTAATCCTGGCTCCTACTTCGTGTCACATCTGTTCTGGTCACGTTCTCGGTTTCTCAGTTTTCACAACAAAAAAAGGTTTTGAATCATTTTAATGCACTGTGTGTTTATGGGACAAAGGGCAATGTCGAGTGGTGGAATGTATGTCATATTCTCACAAGAAGCAAGTATATCAAACTTATTCTCTGTTGATCTAATAAATTTAACTGTTGTCACATTTTTGTTGACAAAATGGTAAATTTTCTTTGTGGTTTTCATTTGAGGTCCCAGCTGTCTTCTTTTCATCGAGTTCAAATCTTATTTGTGTTAATATGTTTAACGTTTTCCACCAGAAAAATTGTTATTCTGAATACTCAGTTACTTCAATGAATTAACAGCAGCATAAATGTTGGATAACTGATTCTTCTTAAACCTTTTGTGTTCGTGTTTAGCTGCAATACAGATAATTTACAGGTTGTGAACCACAGCAACATGCAACAGGGAAGACAGAAAATTCTATGAATCAGTTTCTTTCCACTGATAAATGAAACCTTCACTTTAAGGCAGCAAAGTAATGAGACAACTTTAAATTTTATGAGCATTATTAGACATTTTTTGTAGCCCAAAATGTTCCTATTTTAAAAAGTTCTTCTTATTTTGGGGAGTATAGACAGGTTTAATGCTACAAAAGTCTCCAAAAATTTGAATCTAAAAAATTAAACTATATCAATCAGACTAAATCAATTAAAAATAAGTAAACAAGACTATCAAAACTAACATTTTGTATTTGAAAAGAACATTTAAGTCAGTACTCAGAATTGTATGTATGATATCCAGGCCTGCCCTGCAACACCTTCTCACTGAAACAATAATTATTGTTTAAACAAAGAAACGTAATGCTGACTGGAATAAAACTGCCTGATGGATTGCAGCAAAATAAAGCTGAAACACATTCAGGGGCAAAGGGTAATTTTCATTGTGTTGTAATTGCAAGAAATCTAATGTTTCCTCATCTAACAGGTTTCATTTTTAGAAAAGCTTCAAAAATATCCACCAGTCCCAAAGCAGAATGTGTGTAACGGTGCAAACTGTCATCCAGCATTGTACTTTAAATCAAGAAAGCACACAGGAAGGCCAAACTATTCTGTATTTAAAACTTTACTCTCCATAATGACATATTTATGAGTTATTACTGTATCAGTTGGAACAGGATTTATGGTTTTAACATGGTTAATGTTGACCATATTTAGAGCTTTAACAAAGAAGCTTTATGTGATCTCAATGTGAGTGTGAATGAATAAAACATTATTGTCCTCTCTCGTATTATGTATCTGCCTGCCTAGAAGGCAAAATCTTATGTGGTTAAAAGTCAAGATTACTCACAATTTATATAAATGTTAATTTTATATTTTTCCTGTATTGGCTTCCTGAAAGCATCCTGTTATTAAAGGATAAGATATGATTATTTAAAGGCCCAGTGTGTGGCATTTAGTGGCATCTAGGGTTGAAGTTGCAGATTACAATCATTTGATTGTAATGTCTCATTCTAAGGTAACAAAAACACAATTCTTATTTTCAGGTGATCATCCATGAAAAATATTATATTCCATTTCTGGCAATAGAAATAAAACATTTATAAAAAAGGGGTGTTTTTTAAAATCTGACTACCTGGAAAATATTCAATATCAGGAATACTCATCAGTAATTGTGTGGCAGGAAAGAAGGACACAACCTCCTGATCTGGCTGACTGCCCTGTACTGCTCTTAAATTCACTCTGCTTGGACTGTTTCCAACATCTGCTCTCCTTCCTCTGGCATCCTGTGCACATCTACATCCCACAGGCATATTTCACCCGGAGTAATCAGTCAGACGAGCCATCAGGGTTTACTATTGTCCCAATAAAATGCCACAAAGCTGGGGCATTCACCACCCAGGCTGCACACGGCGTTAGTGAGACAAAGAGCCCAGGGAAAGGCACATTCATTTAGACAGATTTGCTTCTAAATAGCCAATTTACCAAGTCCACTTCATGAGTGCTTACAAGGACACAGAACCTCACATACTGTTTATTGTCATCTCAGGACTCTAAACCTACTGTGTATTTGAAGGAATATTACGCACTTTGTTATGTGCTGGATAACCTAAACTGAGATGGATAAAACTTAAATCCTACAAAATCCTGTACCCTGCTCTTTGCTCTTTTGGCAAATAACACACAGATTTCTGGGGCGTAAAACAAAGCCTCTTAGTGCTGGTGGTTGTTCTGCTGTAAATTAACAGAGGGGCTTACTGATAATCACTCACAAAGAAGGTCATTCCTAACCATCAGGAACCAGGTTTCAGGCCCCTTTGTCTCTCCTGCCACTCACTCTGCATGTAGGTGCACAGCAATGCAGTGAGCTTAATACACGTTTAATAGGTTGGCCCTTTAAGTATTTACTGGAAGCAATTGTGAACAATTTTGATGATGGTGAATCAAATTTAGAAAACAGTGAGATTCCAGAAACAATAGTTCAACCAAACGTTTTTAGTATAAAGACATATTTAATAGCTGTCAGGTTAGCTATTGTTATAGGAATAAACAAGGTGCAACATTAATTCTAGATAGGATTTTAACAGCTATGGAAACTTTACTGCTGTGAGACTTGATACCTGACACAGTAAAATCATGACTTAATTTGAGACTTGAAAGAAATAGCATCAAGTTCTGACCTGGCAGAAATATTTAAGGGGTGGCAGAAATATGCTGATTTAATCAAAAGCAATCACAAACACAAAAAGTCCCCAAAAGAAGACCCCAAAACATTAGATTATCGTGTCACATTTGTAAAACATTGAATAGAAATATCTAAAGGTGGGATTAGAAATCAATATCAGTCTTTTTTCATTCAACTTAAGCCGATTACTAAACATAAATGTGGCCATAAAAGATCATTAAATTAGTACCTGTTAATACACACCCTAGCTTCCCATTCAAGATCATCATAAACGGACGACTTCCTCCTTACACGTTCATCCTCTTCCTCACAACTCATCTGTCCTCAACATCCAAATATGTCTCATATTGTTGTGGCGTGGTCCTTGCTAGTGAACACAGCTATGAAAGGATAATGTCTAAAAGCTTTAATCTGACTTTGACTTTGTTTGCTATAACAGTTTTGAGCTTTATCTGCATTAAAAACATCCATAAAGTATATGTTTGGCTTTGATTTATGACCAGACATTTACCTTTATCCATAGACATAAACAAACGCACACACAGAGCTCCATTAGAGAACTCACTCACGCTGTTCTTCATCAGTGCCGTGTGTAATTGATTTCAGGAGCAGGAGCCAAGGTTTCCCCTCCAGCATCTCCAGGTGGTTCATATTTACTCGTCAGTTTGAAGCCCTCTGGCCCGGAGTACATACACGAATGCACACATACACAAACCATACAGCTCCATAACGTGAGCTCAGAACTGTCTCTGACCTCTGAAAGTAAAATCTGTTTTGAGAGTTTTGGTTCATGTACATTACATCATGTCCTGTCACAACACATCTGCAACCAACTACTACAACTTGGAACCATTTTAGCTTCATTTACAGCAGCATGCGTGAGAATCAGTTTGATTAAAACAAGCAGCATCTTATCGAGAGGCCCAAACCGAGACATCCTGTGTGCAGGTGTGTGCTGCACAGTGACACGTCTTTCTTGTTTAGGAGATGTAAAGTAGGTCAAATCCATATCACAGCATCACATCAGAAAATGGAAAGACAAGGCAAGAACTAGATGCTCCATCGCATTTGCAGCATGATTCCCCTGAGATAAGTCTCTCCATTGTGCTCCATGTTAACAAACTGTACCAGAGAAAGTGCCAGACAGGCTTGTCCATCTCACTTCCTTGGATCAGGTGGTAGACTGGATTTGTTATGTAGGTCAGTCATTGTATGAGCTCTCATTTCATGTTCTATCCCTGCAGAAAACAGTAAGGAAATTATAACTATTACATCCAACAGCAGAGAACAAGAAACCAAAGGCTCCAGCATCAACCAAAAATCCTAAAATCAGATGTCTGACTTTTATCGGCCACTATTGGCAACCAGAGAATTGGAGCAATAACTCATCTAGAGCACTGTATAAATAACAGACATAAATAATCAGTCCCAGTGTGATATTAACATCAGGGAAAGAATTAATTAGTTTAGTCACCAGTGAACATTAAACCCTGACAGATATTTTAAAGCAAGAGTTTGACTTTTTTTTTTTTTTTCTGGGGGGGGGGATATGTTTATAAGCTTTCTTTCCAAGAATTAGATGAGAAGATTTGATCCAGCATAAATAAAGATGTACGGTAAATGTAAGACTACAGTCGGCAGCTGGCTAGCTTAGCTTAGCATAAATACTGGAAAGAGGGGGAAACAGCTAGCCTAGCTTTGTCCAAATTAGGGGTGTTGTCGTACACTGATTTTGACAAAAACTACTAAATATTGTGTTGATAATACACACATGATAATAGCGTACAAATAATCCAGCGCCTCTTGAATCATTCCCGTTTCTTCCCATCCCCGCTTTGTGGTTCAAACACAAACACAATAGGTGGCGGTAATGCACATTATCGCTGGTTGCCAGTGTTACAGTTGAGAGTAATTCATTCACCAAGAGACAGGAGACAAAACACACAATAAAGGTTAAAGAGCAATTTGACTGATAGCATTATTACGATTATAATTTTTTCCCCTATATCTTTATCATGAATTCTTTTGGCAACAATAATCTTGTAGTGTAAATCTGATAATCTAACAGCCCTATACGGTCCAAAGGTAACAATATCCTCCTCTAAACCTCAGTAATTAACACATTATATCCTGTTAGTGCCAACTGTCTCCCCCTGTTTTAGTATTCGTGCTAAGCTGCTGGCCATGGCCCTTAATTTGCGATCATTAAATTTGCATCAGTCCTCTCATCTAACTTTCGTCAAGAACGAGAAAATGAAAAAAAAAAATTTTAAGCTTCACCACACGTGTCTTCTATAAACATACTGCGTCCTGTGTCACTTGGTGGACACTTGTAACCAAAGCCACTGATTCTGTGGAAAGTGTATACACGCTGAGTTATGAGGGACCGCAGATCTTTCAGCGGTGGACTTGCTGGGTTGAATTAGTTATTGCTGGAAGGAAAAAGTAAAGAAAATCCAAAGAGCTGATGAAATGCAGATGCTGCTTACACAGAGAGAAAGAGGGAGACATGAAAAAGACAGAGGGAAAGATAAGTGAAGAGGAAAATGAAAAGGTACAGTAAATTTAATTCCATGGTAAAGATCATACAGACGACAGTTAATCCATCCGTGAAGATTCAGATCTTCATGGTTGTTTTTCTTCCACATGAGGGGCTGCAGTTCAGCCCATGAAACAGTGAGTATGAAACTTACACTATAGAGTAATCATTCCTTTAAGGATAAATTCTCCCTTATATACTTTAATAGTCTATATAGCATGCATTTGTATGATTTAGTGCATTCAGGGAGTTATTTTGTGCTGAAATATTTTATTGTTTTGGCGTTCCCCATTAGTCCCAGAATGACTTTCAACAGCTCTCCAGAGAATGGGTGTGAACTTGTTGCTCTCAGTCAATGGTGGGCATATGGACGTATAAATATAGTGAAATCATCCAACTTGTTTGTGAACACTTGGGTGTGTCCGTGGTCACAGCCAACCTCCGTTAATCAAAACACAGTTTAACATGTGGTTGCATTACATTCTGGTCCTTTGAGGTCCACTGGCAGGGGATACATGAAATGCCATTGAGATCTGGAGGTAGCTGACTATATTTTTGTCCAATCAAACTCAATTGAATCCTAGAATGATGTCATATCTTCTACTTTCCAAGGAAATAAGAAAAATACACCCCATTTAACTGCTTTTTTCACAGAGTTAGCATTGCAAATACCTGCTCATATTACACAATTTCACATAATGCTTAATTCATGTTATGGGATATTAAAGAAGACTTTATATACTTTTTATAGAAAAATGTAAAGAGCAAAGCTATCATTTTATTTGGTGTATCAGTGTAGAATATTTCCAAAAGATATACAGCATTTGTAATGATATCCGCTCTTGATATTTGGTTCCTAAATCCCCTCGGATAGGAAGAACTATTTGCACAGTGTATTTCAGTGAAACACGGCACCACTCACTTCATAAATTAACTGTAGCGCACTCGGATTGTGCTCATGTGCAGACGTGGACACATTTAATGCACCGCTGAGGTAATGCGCTCTTGGAAAGCCTCCAGTTTATTTGACTGGAGTGTGATGATTTTACTGTGTGTAACGCAGACCATTACCGTGAAGTTACAGTCAGCATTCTCCTTCACACCGCGCGGGTCAAAGGTCATCTGGAGAACATTCCAGGACAGACAATATGGCTCCCTGGAGGTATGGATGAGGCTGCAGCTTGTCTGGCCATCTGCTTCAACCTGCCCCCATTACTCTACAGCTAAAACTGGCTCCACACTCACACTAACGCAGTGTTACAGTAGTTGGCCTCTACCCTCTGTGCTCCTTAAGGTCTCTGAAAGGCTTTCTGCTCAGCTGAGACCGATAAACTACGAGCTGCATGAGCTTATAATGTAAGAAACTAGGACACTTTTATTACATGCTTGGTTACAAAGAGCTACATAGTTTTTTAAAAAATGTGATGCATCAGTGGTGGAAGAAAGTAAAAGTAACAAGACTGCACTCAAAAAAATACTCTATTACAATAAAAGTCCTACATATGACCAACGTGGTAGTGTTTCCACCGCTTTGTTTAATTGATTTCAAGGGGAATCTGACTCAATCCGACCCGGTGGCAGGCATAACATAATAATAAGAATAACAAAGAAATAGCCAATCTTCTCGCTGACCATCTGATGAGCTTATCTTGGTCATATTGAGGCCTCAATTTTAAACTGAGACTGTTTCATAACCAGTGAAAAACTCTAAGTATGGAAGTAAATATAAATAAGATATGAATGGATTATCGACAATTTCATGATGATATTAAACAAGCTTTTAAGTGACTCATAGAAAAGTAGTTACATGGTTCATGGTACATATCAACAGTAGTATATGTAACGCAGTCTTTTTTTTAAAAATCTTTCTCATAACAAACTTTAGGTCTGATTCTTATAAACATCCTCCAGAGATAAAATCTCCATTTGAATAATGAATGTTAGTGTCAAATGTAGTTAAAGTGAACAAATCACAATCTTTCATCGCGAGCACTAGTGGAACTATTGTAATGAACCAAATCTTTAAAGGTTTCATATCCACTTCATTTTACTTTACATTCCTTAAGTTACATTTTATCTTGAAGTGGAGTTTACTGTATGATTACTCTCAAGTACTGTATACTTTGTCTCTGGTTATGGCTGCAGGTTCACATTCAAATATGCCTCTTCAAACACTGGTCTGGAGTTTTCTTGATTTGTTTTATTTTAATAGAACTTATTTAAGCTCCCAAGTTTGTTGGAAATTTCAGTGATTTTTCATATATATTTATGGTTCAAGCTTAATGTAGAAATTTTGCAGAACACAAACTAAATCACTTATTTACCTTTATATCTCCAGTACAGGTTTCGATTGTCAGCAGGTTTGTTGAGGATCTGTGGTGTCGGATTCCTAACAGATTCCTCGGACATGAGGGCACGATCGCTTGACCCCCCGAACCAGATGTCTTCCTTTCTGCCTCCACCCCCTTTTCACTGCGGGAACTATGCCACCTGTCAATCACTGAGGTTATCATAGTATCCAGGTGGTCCAGCCTTTGAAGTGGCAAACAGGTTCTTTGTCTGAACATACTGAACATAATGAATATTAATTGTAAACTAGAATAGACAAGAATATGTTATTTTCCTGCAAAACCAAACCTGTGTAATCCATGCTGGTTATATCCTGGTTGGATGTAGGTCATCTTAGTGAGTGTATTTGGGAGTGTGGTGCTCTGTGCTGTATGTTCACTAGATGTCAGTGTAGTTTCTAGGATGAGTTCAGTGGCACACAGTCAATTCAATTCAATTCAATTCAATTCAATTCAATTCAATTCAATTCCATATCCCAAGAAGGTTTTCTTTTACCCTGATTGAAATCCTACAATGATTAGAAACTTTTGAGCTTTTAAGTTTGGTGTGACACATTTTTTTTTAATCCAAATTGATAAAACGTTATTCGTTACGTTACGTATTCAGTCTTTCTTTTTCTTTTACTATTTTTTGGGCTTTTTATTGTCTTTTTATTTGATAGAAACAGCTGTAGAGTGACATGAAAGTGGGGTCAAGGGTTGAAATTCAGCCACTGCGGTCAGGACTTAGCCTGAGTACATGGGGCGCCCCGAGTATTTAGACTTTTTGAAATTAATACAATTAATAATGTAACACTATTTTTCTTTTTTGTCACATTTCAACTGATTCTTCGATTGTTGAAAGAAAAGTTTTTATTTTCCAGCATATTGTTACACACACTGGCTAAATAAAATAAATAATACATAAATAAACTGCTTTCTACTTACACAGGACTGTGGAACAGAACATCTTCAACCTCCTTTAACCAAAACTTTATTTCAAATTGTAGAGAAAATGCCAAAGTTTCTAAATAAATCATGCTAATGTGGTTGGAAATTTGTATACAAATTTGTCTACCAATGATGAAGTGCCAAATAGTTTTAGGTTTGAATATTCACATAACTTCAGTGAAGAGCTGGAACAACCTGATCCAGAGTAAAGTTTCAGTGTAGGTCAATTATTTAAAAAAATGTCTTAATAAGTGGAAATAAAAAGGGGAAACTGTATTTTAAGGAGTTATGAATTGTTCCAGCTGTTCCTATTTATATTTGCTGGGTTATAAATAATATTACCATTAAAAAACACGGCAGTATGATTTTGTATGTACTGTAGTGTGGAAACAGTGGAGGCTAACTCTGTTTACCATCATTCAACCAATCTGGGCTGCAGATGTCCTTTTAAACTCCGATTGCATCTGTCAGGGCAAAGAGATTGATCCTGCAAATTAGATCCATGAACTTAGTTTCAGAATGTCTTTTTCTCTCTTTTTCTTTGACTTTTTATTGTGAATATATTCTTTTGAAAATGGGAAAGTGTCCAACCTGAGGGTCAAATGTCAACAATTATCACAATCTTACTCAGATGTACTATTTAGTTTATTAGTAAAAGCACTGCATGTCATACACTGACAGTATGACAACCATCACATGGTTTCTCTGTGGGTTTAGAAAACATTATGGAGCCTTTTCAGAGCCCCTCAGATGACGTCAAACATGTATTTATGTTCATGTATTCTTTGACGAGTCAGGGTCGGTTTTTGTAGCTTCTGAACATTTGACTTTTTAGAAAATACACATTTTTAACCCATGAAAACAGTGACAAGTTATTACATCTAAACTGAAACATGTGGAAGAAAACCAATTCCGCTGGTTTACAGCCAACACTCCATATGTAATGTATTAAGCATTAAGTGCTTCTGCCAACAGCGTGTCCCAGTTTTATAATTTATCATGAGTTATAGAGGTTACTAAAATTTGCTGTGCTGTTTGAGTCAAGGCTTTTCATGGTGGTCCTGTATATAGAGCCAATACGACTGGCTGGAACATTGGATAGTAAAGTCTTGGCACCCATAATGACCGAAAAATTAATTAAAAGCCGCAAAACCCCTTTTTGTTTAGCTACATTTCATTGTCAGTTTAATTCATCGGGATTTCACAAACTACATTTCACCCACGTCTGCCAAATCAGTAAAATATCTTCAGACAAAGATGTGATAACATGAACCTCACTGTGTCATTTTTAAGTCTTTGGTGACTCCATTTGAAATGTACAAAAGAAAACACCCTAGGTATCCCCGTTCACACAGCAAGATTAGTTATGCCATCTAACCATCTCATTCACATTATAGTTAACACCCACAAGTAGTGTTATCTCTCCGGTCCGTTAACAGTTAAATGACTCATTCATTCAGTCAAGTGTCCTGTGGTCATAACATTAATTCCTTACATAAATACCTTCAAAAACAGCAACTGAGTACCTATCATCAAGCACAAAATAGATTTAAACTCTTAAACAGTTACATACATTTGAAATAATGTGAACATATTTTAAAAAGTGCATTGTCACGGCTACGTTTTTGGCTTCCTACTGAGGGCTATGGCAAGATCTCACCAGAAAACGTTTGGTTCAGTCCTCTTGGGGTCAGAATATGTCAGACCTCAAATATCTTTACTATCAGTCTTTTCAAGTAATTAATGTGTTGAATTATCTCTTACATTTCCGTCCCACAACACCTCCCTCCATCACTACTCCTAAACTTTATCAGTGCCTACACACATTTTAAGGTAAAGAGCTTTTTTAAACTGCAGAGTCATGAGGTTAATGATGAACTGTCTATGAGAGGGATAGGCCATGGTAGACAATCATAATCTACAGTAAAACCTACTTCAAAATCAGGAATAAATTGTCTGTTTGCATAGTCTGGAAGTGATCACTATGTAGGAACTCCACGGAGAGAAGGTCTGTAAGATGCCTGGACTCGGGTTGATGTTACTCCTTCATGTTTTGTGGCCTGTTGATCTTTCCTGGGGCTCTCGAGCTGGTCCTGGATCTGTGCAGGAGGGGGGGCATCGTCGACTCAAAAGCATGAGAAGAGTGAACAGCAGCCGAGCCGGTGGGTTACAGCAGAGAGCAGTGGTTACCTGGACGAGAAAGAAAGCAGCCAGGATTAAATTGAGGGTAAATTAATAGCATAAATCTCTGTACTGACCCTGAACTATACATATCATGAAATACAACGATATATCAATGCAATATAATTAACAAAACTCCTCTAATTCAATTCATTGACAGCTGTCTCACACTTTTGTATTTCTATTTTGTAAACTTAAACATTGTATGTCCTTTATTTGTAGTATATGAATGAGTTTTTTGTTCCAGTTAAAAATAAATCATCTGTTTCACATCTCATAAAGTACTGCTGATGTAGCTGATGCGGTGTTACCTCTCTCTCAGGGGCAGGTTTGGGTTACTTAGGAAGGACAGCTGCTGCTCCAGACTGCACACACGAAAGGCCAAGTAGCACGATGACAGGATGAGGAGAATAATACTGGCGAATGAGGAGGAGACACAGATGAGTTACAGGAGTACAAATTATTAATTATTACTACGTTTTACGAGCGTTATTATGATATTAGAGACTAGAATCCTCTGGTGATGTGGAAGAAGAGAGCTGTAATGCCTTTTAATGAACACTTGGAGGCGATGTTTAACTTTCTGTCAGCATTTGAAAGCAACACTGTCCTTGAACCAGTTTAAATCTGTTGTTAGGGGGTGTTTTTGCAAGTTTAACTATGTTACTGTTATGATATTACATGTACCAAGTAATTATTTAGGATTTCAGAGTTTGAATATGGTTTTTTGAACTCTCTCTTGTGGTAATCTACCATCTTTTTTATTCATTGCAGTCTGCACTTTATTACTACACAATGATAATATATAATATATTTGAGACCAAATAATGCATTTATTTACATCTTAATTTGCTTCTTCGTTAGAAAATATACATGCACGTTTGGCATTGGGTATTCTCTTTCAAGCATAAATGTATATATAGAGTTTTCATTGTTTCATGGATTATAATCTGTGATATGTCAGAGTCAAATTTGTTTCTTGTTGTCTCTTTTCCTCTACAGGTCTCTGTCAGACATAGGACGAACCCTCGGGAACAGATAAGGATTCATTGCTCTCTCAAGGACAGTTAAGCAGAGCGGCGTCATGCCCTCTGGGTGAAGGACAATCTCCATGGTCACTGTGCCACCTTGCTATGATCATGTGGAGCAAGGAGAGCATGACGTGCAATGACTCTTCAAAATAAAGTAAAAAAATTAAGTCTTAAAGGGAGACAACTTCTCTGAGCAAAAAGTGTTTTGACACAGCTCTGATCCTGTGTGTTCAGATGGCTGTTTGAATCGCCCACTATTTATATCTCCATGTTAATGCTCACAGTGTGTGTGTGTAGCTGTGAGTCAGCTGTTGAAGGAGTTGAAGGTGGTGAAGGTGGTGTTGTTGGTGTCTGTGTGTCCCTCTGTATACTCACAGCAGGGTAAAGAACTTGAGCAGCTGGTACTCCATCTGGCCCAGCTCTGCCACTGGCTCTGATAAAAGACCTCTGTCTGTTTGTAGAGCTCGCTCTGTAACACACACACACACACACACACACACACACACACACACACACACACACACACACACACACACACACACACACACACACACACACGCTATAACATAAAATCCTTAACAGTACTTGGCTTGACAGTACTGCATGTTTCACTTTTCATAGCTCTGGTCCACCTGTTTGTGTATCTGACTGCATTCAGCGCCCTCACACAGTTAATGGTGTGACAATATTCCCTTTGGAGCTTGGTAATGAATCAATATATTAAGTAAATCGTATCAATTATGCCCTCCAAAGGGTGCTAGCTTTTGTTTATACTACTATATTTTATGAAATGCCAGACGGTGCAATTAAGCTATATAAATTACCAATATTAAGACTGTGAACTGTCAGAGATGATCAGGACATTCACATTTCTGAATTTTATATTATTTTATATGTTTCTACGGCTCCTAAAACCTAAGAAAAACAATTCTAAGACAGTCAGAAAACCTCTTCTAATTGGATATATTTCAATATTTGTTTATTATATTATCTGTGTGTGCAGTGTGGAGGGGGGTACAACTACATTTATATTGTGCAATTCTGTGAACCTTATGTTGTTTTTACTGCTGCATTCATTCATTATTCATTAGAAATACTGTAAACATTGAAAACTATATTGTCTAATACAAAACCATGAGCTGACTATTATTATATCTCTATTATTATCGTATGCTAACTGGCTTCGTGTGCATGGTTTCTTATTGCACAGGTCCAATATGTGTGTCATGTAAAACAACTATAATACAGGTTGTATTACTCAGGTTATGCTATTTAGGTGGCACACTTATTTAATTACATTACTTCCCAGCTTTCCACTCCACATGTGAGCTGTGGTGATAATGTAAACAAAAGCTCACACTAATCAAATATCCAACATATAATGGAGAAAACATTAATGTAGGCTAGTGTTTAGAAATGATCTAAAGCCTGACAGCATATAGCCGTTAAACTGTCCTCAGACGACTTTGACAACAGACATTGTTTGTGATAATCTCTACTTAATCTGCATCCGCCCCAAAGCTTTTTAATACAAGCCCCCACATGATTTAATCTCCATTTGGAGCTTAATGTGTCGTTGCATAAGAGAGATGTTGCCATCCAAAAGCAACTGCTCTCTGTCTTTAGTTCTCTCTTTCTCACACACAAACTCCAAAGCAAATGAAACACTTTAACACAAACACACAAACGTATGCATCCGGGCAACTTAAGTCTCTATCCATGTCTCACAGTATAAATATGATTTGACGACAAACAAACATTCACACTGTTGTCCAATAATTTAAGTGACATTTTGAAGATTCTGTCCTCAGTTCACCTATTTTATCTAGGTCAGACTACAAACTGTTACTTATTACCAATAAAAGTCATCATGCACATCCTACTTCAACTTTTATTCCCCGACACACACTTAGACAACACAATGATGGCTCTCCTCATACTGAGGATTAATAAGCAATCTATAGGTCACAGAGCAGCTCCACTGCAGTGGAATACTTAACCTCAATCAACCAGAGAGGCAAACAATGTTGAGATTTTTAAGTTCAAACCGAAAGCCGTCTTATTTTCTGTTTCCTGTATTTGGATTGTGTGATTGGTATCTCGGTTTTGTTGCTCATTTCCAGTCTTAACTGTTAATAGGCAATAAAGAAGTTATTTGATGAATTTTCAGTTTTATGTTTTTTACATTGTTATCATCTTTGGTAATTGTCTTGTTTTTTTTAAACTGTGTTGAGACACTATTATTTCGTGCTCAAAATATGCAAAACAAAAATGCTCACAGGGACTTTCTGATCAGATGAAGAGAGAGCAGATTTCTCTTCTTTTTAATGAAGTCCTGCAGAACCCTGACATTGATTAAAACTAAAATATCAAGAAGTAACAACTGACAACTTCTTATCACACAATGTAGGATTTTTGTCATAATATCTGTATTTGTACTATTACGACACCACAGACTTTCAGTACACTACAAGCAAAAACGACTACTTTTGAGGCGCACTGATTTACTTCTACAGACAGTAGTAACCAGTGATTTATGTATATTAGACACTGATAAGGAAGCCACAACCTCCAGCCATTAAGTTCTAACAAGAAACTGAAAGTGTGTGGCCTTGAATAAAGGCCTTGGACTTCGTTATATATAGTGCCACTGCACTGTCATTGTATGGAGAGTTTTATCACCTTCCAGCAGCTGTTCTGATTTGAAAGGTGTGTCTGTGGGGCTCAGGCTGCTGGTAGAGTTCCCCAGGAGGTCAGGAAGGGAGGAGGACACAGACACAACTGAGGGTTTCCTTCTCCACTTTAACACTGATGGGAATTCGTCAACCACTGGGAACTCGTCTGGAGCCGGGAACTCGTCCTGCAACACAGAGGAAAGCGGAGAATGTATTTGAAAGACGATGGTCCAACTGCAACTAAAGGAGTCTTTTTATATATATATATATATCTTGATTTTGATTGCTTGTGATGTCTAAATGTAACCTAACACTACACACATTGCAAGCAGCTCAACCAAAAAGTAATATCCCCTTAATTTAGGCTGGAAAATGTGAAAGTATCCTTATTTTGTGAGAGGAAAAAGGCAAAAATTTGAAAAAGTCAGAAATAAATAAAACTTTCTCATTTAATCATCTTGTGACCCCTCGCTGAAACTGGGAACCATTGAGCTATATCAACACAACCACATGATCAGTGGTCATTCATATAGTTGGCCTTGATGGTCCACAGAACTGAGCCACATTGATTAACTTTGGTGATAAATCAGCACTTTCATCTATTATCCCATTCTAATACAGTAAGTCAGCCTCTATGAAAGGGTTTGAAGTAGAACGCTCCAGAAATACTAACTATTATTGATCTAGGAATGCTTTATGGATCAGTTATGAACATTCGCGTGAAGAACTTTTGAGCTTGTTTATACTTTCTATTTATAAATGTTGTTAATCCACAAATAAATGAAATTATAAAGGTTCATAAGTTGTAAATAATTTAATTTATTTTGGGCTGGGTAACTGCTCAAAGATCAAAAAAAACCTGGCAGCTCAAAAGTTGCTCTTGTTAATGGCCTATAAATCATAAATCATAAATCATTTATTATCCTAAATGATTTAATAACCATTAATAAAGCTATTAGTTATGACTTAGAAACTCTTTGTAAAGGGAGACTTATTAGTAAATGATACCCATATATTAATTCATCTGTTAAGCCCTATTTAAGCTACAAAGTGAGCTGTTCAGAAAGGTACACAAATATTTTAGATCGGTGGATTTATTTATGTATTTATGTCTTAATATGATACCAAACTGTAAATATAAATCATACATCTTAACATTTTGTGTGTTTGAGATGAGCACTATGAAACCCTCTATGGAATATGCTGGCAACATGAACAAACACCCTGTTCTCTGATGATCAAGGACACGCATGTTAATAGAATTTAATTATTCCTTAATGTAAAAGCTGTTCTGTCGCAGAGTGAGCTATAGCGCACACACACAAGGTGACTTCACAGAGCTCTTTGATAGCATCTTGCAGACTCGGGGATAATTCACTGCAAGGCTGCAGCTGCAACAGAATGATCTATTGATCCTGTCTGTGTAAGAAGGTAAGTCAGCCTTCAGGTCAGGGGTAGTTGTCAGCGAGAATTGTCAGTTGCCTTTAGGCCGACATGAAACATGACCAGGAAACATTAAAGTCATTTTAATGCCTGTGAATTACCAGATACTGAAGCTCCACCCACTTTGATCTTTACAATTTTAATGATTTTATGATGGTTTATTCTGTGAAAGACAAGCTGTCACTGACCAGCGATAAGGTCGGCTCCTCCATGAACTGCTTCAAGCTCAGACTCTTCCCATTGACCTGGAGAGGGAAGGAAAATCACCTGGTTAATAGACATTCAGACCACACAGAAAATAAACTGAGTGAATAGTATGTGTGGATCCTCTGACCTGTAGGTGTGTGCAGATCCTGCGGAGGACGTCATATACACTGTCTCTTGATAGCAGAGATACAAATACATACTGAGGAAATAAAAAGAGAGAAAACAGTGATTTAAAAAAGAATCATTGTGTCTGGAAACTATTCTGAATTTACCCACAAACATAAAATGTTTATAACATATAATCTGAGACCATTTAGTGATTCTCTTTAATGCATATACAGATATTAAAGAAGCTTCTATTGCACATGGATAAGCTATATACTTTTCATTTATCACTAAAATTAGGTTAGATGTGAGACGATATTAAACTTTGACGAGCCCTGTGGGGGGAAACTGAATAAAGAAGCAGACCAAGAAGATTTTCTATTTTGAAAATATCACAGACACATAACTGGACCTTTGGTCACTTTATCTGAAATATCAGCATTTGAGATCATCAGTGCCAGACTTGCATTATTATAACTCTCTGCTTGTGATGTTAGTATACAGTTGTGTTTGCAGCCATACAAAACATATAATAATACATTAACATTACTGCGGAAGAGTACAAATGGAGCGAACAGCACTTGAGGGATTCAAAAGCTTTAATCTGCGGCACAAAGAGGATATTTTTCTAATCACATTTTGTTCTAGTTTATTCTTTTATGAAAAACTATGAATGACAGCTTACTCAAATATCCCTGACCCGGATAAATATCACTGATTTCAACTTTTGAATTTATTTATGAGCATTTGAAACACTGTATTATTGTGTGTCTACTTTTTGTCCATGTCAGTTTATGAACAGTCCTGTTCTATCTCTGTTGACAGTCTGTTGGTGAATGGGAAGAAAAAGTATAAACAGAGCCTGAAATTGTCTGCTGTTACGCACACGAGCTGTGAACTTTTTACCTCATAAAGAAAATGTTTAGCAGTATAGTTGTACTGTATAGAGCCGTGTGTCTGCGCTTTAAGTAATGCGGTTATGTAATGCATATTACACAATCATGCAGACAAGATATTGGCCCTTGTGCAGTGTGAGACTGATCCATATGTCTCACATGGTTCGACAACGGTGGTAATACAGAAATATTCCAATTCTGACCAATGTAATAATAGTGTTTTGCACAACTGGAATGTAAATAAATATTTACACTGCTGTACTGGGCTTTGAGTACCTGAGTTAACAGCTTTCTCAGTAAACAGAGAAAGAGAGGGGAAGCATGTGACCACTGGAAAGTGAAGACAGGCACCACACTGTATTAAAACTGCTCAGACTTTCTGCACATATCTGAAAAATCTAAGTGTAATCTCATGCACATCTAGCAGACCTCAGTGCTCACAGTGTACAGAAATTCCCCTTGTTATTTTCGCATTTATCTGGCAATAAATCAGCCCAGTTTATTAATAATTAATGATTTTTGTTATGAATAAATGATGTCCGCTTGACATGGTCCAATAACATGTACTGTGGTGTATGTATATGAGATTATAGTGAAGTATATGAATGTCTGAGGAGCAGTAAAACATGTGATATTTCTGAACCTTGTGACAACTGCCATAGCTCTGAGTAGACGGCTCCTCTGGGTGTGTGCTGTAGCAACAGTTGCATGAATATATAAATATACATTATACAGATACATGTAGAGACAGAGTCCAGAATATTTATATAATGTTTCTAGTGGTAGTATATATATATATATATATTTCGTTGTATTAAGCAAAAAGATGACTTGACAACATTTCCTCAGACCAGATTAAAAATATAGCCACTACAAAACCTTTAAAACTAGTTAAAATATTTTTTTAGTTTCATATAGACAGAAAACCAAACTAAATGTGCCTGAAATGTGCACAGTTTGTCCTTTAATTTAGGTCAGTTTGGCAGCTGATTTGTTAAAACAGGGTTACACAGAAGGATCTCACTTCCTCTGCTTCTTTACACCAATAGTTTTAATATTTCAATGTGTTAAATATGTCCTTGTTAGTGTTTGACAAACTAAGTAAACATTATGGGTTTGAGCTAAAATGCTTCCATGCTACTTAAGATAAATGAAAACCAGTCTTATGTTTGAATAAATAAAAAAAGCTTCTACAGGGCTCGGAGGTTGTCGGACACAGTAGGTCAACCATGCTGACTCCTTAGCTGTATGGATGGTAATGTTGGTCTGTTGGTCCAGATTGAATCATCTATCTATCAACAACTACTGGACAGATTGTCATGAGATGGCTTGGCTCTCACAGGATCAATCCCCTGACTTTAGCTCTACTGCCACTATCAGGTTGACATTTTTAGTTTTAAGTGAGATGTCTTTAAAATAACTTTGGTGATACTGTGAATGTTAGTGTCACAGAGACACTAACATGGCTGCAAACTCTGGCTTAAATTACACATTTGTGCACTCAATATACAAATTTAATTCCCTTAGTTTAGTCATTAGTGCCCTCAAATGACCAATTCAAATGACTTAATTTGCTTTCTCGCTCCTGTCATGTAAAAGATGTCACCACTTTCTAATGTAAGCTTGTTGTTTTTAATGGGCTGTAGGGGCCAGAATAGAAGCTGAAAAGTACATTATGTCTTTGAAAATGCCACTCGATGACAGGCTGAGTCTGATGTGACAGAAAGATAAGGAGCCCTTCTGAACATTGCCATAATTGTGGAAAAACCCTTCACTCTCTCGCTCGACTAAGCTGGGACTCCACTCTGCTTCTATCTATAGCATGGTGTTGTTTTTTCCATCACACCTCTCCTGGAAGATACAGCCACGCTGTTCTAATCAGCATAAGTATTTTAATTCACAGCCACTGTGATGGAAGTGTTTACCCTCTGGCCGGTGTCTGTGGTGATAGCCAAGCCATTGGGAACAAGTCCCGCTGTTTTGTGCTTCTTCACCAGCCTCACAGAAACGACAGGAATAGCCACCTATGTGAGATGGAACAAGGCACAAAAATAACATCCATAAGGAGACACTCTTAAAAGGAAGATAATGAGACAAATATAGGTAAGATAAAAACTTATTTGAGTAAATGGTGGCAGAGCAGACACTGAAATACACTCAGGAAAAGCCCCTTGAGAAAATCCATAGCGGACATAAAACGTATCCTGTTTCAGTCAGAATGTGAGGAATGCAGCCTGAATAAGTAGCTTATTGTCACTCAGATGTCAGGAGAGGTTTGGTTTCAGTGAAATGGAGGAAAAGGAACAATGCACAACATCAAAGAGAAAATCACATAACTGGTTAAGGTTAAAGGTTCAGTAAGTCTACCTGTTCTTGGTACATAACTTTTGCAGACATATATACAGTATATATATATAGAGAGAGATTTTCTACGAGGGAGAATTAAGACTCACACTCAAACTCAGCCCGTTATCTTGACTGACTTTCCGTCAAATAATCTGTCAAGTTGTTCAATCAGCTAGTCAGACTGTCACTGGGAGTCACTCGGTTAAAGTTTGTCAGTCAGTTTGAGTTCATTAAGCTGTCTGTCAGTCATTTGTACCTTAATGTCCTTGCCGAAGAGGTTGGCATAGAAACACAGCCAGTTTCTGGAAATGTAGAGCCGGCCTTGTAGAAGGATATCTCTGAGAAGAGCACAGGAGTACACTGAGGACAGAAGAGACAAAAACACTTTTTTTTCTCGTCCTCAATCAACAATAGCAAAAATGGATAAAGAAAAACATTCTTCAAAAGAAAAACATTCTCCGACTGCAAAACTGAAAAAAACAAGTTTCACATCATTGGTTTCCTTTGAATAAGGTTGCACATAGCCTGAACGTTTATGGAAAACGAGGTTGAACTGTGCAAACAGGGGGTTGATACTGCGCAGGAGAAGTTGGTCATCCTGAAATCTGAGCTGTGCGGTGCCAAGACGGCCACTTCTAATGACTAAAAAGAAGAAAAGGAATAGACTATACAAGAAGAAACTATACAGTAGCATTACTAGCATTTGATATGTAGGGCTTTTGATATACAAGTAGAGATACTATTGTTGAATATGCAGTACCAGCAAATTAAAGCTGCTCATAACTTCTGGGATTTTGAACAGCTACTGAAAATAATAAGATAGTTTTCATTATTTCCACCTCAATTTTACTATAATCTGGGTCTATTAAACAGAATTTAGATCATCATATGACACTGAAAGACACTGTAACATGACATCTCCTCCTTTCCTTAATGTTACTAAAAACTCCTGTATACTAGAAATCTTCTTCTTTTATGTAGCTTCCATTATATCCACAACTAATGACACATATTGATTATTTTGCTGACTATAAGTAACTAATTTAGCCTTTATAATATAAAAAAAAAAGGTTAATATGCACAAATTGTTTTAATTTATAGTGACATAAAAACAGAAAAGCAGTAAATCCCCACAACTGAAAAGCTGGAAAATTAAAACTTTTGAATTTTTGATTGATTTTGCTTGATAAATGACATGATGACTTATTTCTGTCGATTCATTAAGTGATTAATCGACTAATCATTTCAGCTCTAGATCACAGTTATAGCTAATATCTGAAATGTAATAAAAGGCTAATATCAGTCTAATTTTACTGTTTAACAGCAGCTCACAAGAAGAGTTACTTCTTCCACCTAACCCCCAGGCAAATTATAGTGAAACTGAAGCATGACATGTCCAAGAATACTAAGAAATTGATAAATAAAAGAGATGTTGCAGTAGAAAACAGTCCAAAAAAAAAGTTTCCCAAATGGTAAAGAAGGACAGTACCTTTCATGAGGATCTCATCCTTGGGCACGCACTGGAACAGTTTGTGGTACTGCGAGTTGTACTTGCTGACAGTCTGTGCAGAGGGACAGGGCAGAGTCATGAGCAGCTCCTTGGCGGACCGGCCTGCCTGCACTGTACCAGCACCACCGGCACCACCGGCCACTCCACCACCTCCGGCTCCGCTCGCCGCAGACACCACCCTCTCCCTCAAAGGACGCGAGCTCTGCACCAGGCTCAGCACGTTGGCACCGTACACACAAACACACTCGCGCACATCCAAGGCCTGGAGCAAGCTGCTGCAAGACACACACTGTTCCCCTGTCGCCAGTCAGTACGCTGGGGCTGAGACGGAGGGCTGCCTCCGTGCCACTACTTCTAATCTACATGCACAAACACACACCTGGCTCTGATGTGTACACCACGGACACATAGGCTACTACTAGAGTCACAAACAAGCAAAAGCCTCAGTTTACAGCCACTGAGCTCTGTCTCAGAAACTACAAGGCTCTCTTTCTCTGTCTCAAATACACCTCCAGTGACTCTACACTTTGCAGCACCCAGCTGACACCCTCCCTTCTCCTTCTCCCTCCTTCACACACATACACACACTCTGCCCTTCATCATTCTGAGCTGTAAAAAAAAACAACAACACCCATTCTCGCACACACTTACACACACAGGTACTCCCTCTCACTACTCTTACACTTTCTCTGCCTTTGCCTTCCCTCTCCCCCTCTATCTGTCAGTTTCTGCTCCTCTCTGTAGTGTCAGACTAAAAAATCCACACTTTTCAGAGCAAATCATACATTCTTTCTCTCTCCGTGAACACACAAGAGGTCTCATTCATTCCCGGCTCTCCTCCCTCACAGCTCAAACTCACCTCCAGCTCTCAATATCTCTGCAACCAGACTATCATTGCCCTTTCTTCTCCTATCCTATCCTGTATCTCGTCTATCTTCCACTCGTATCGGCTCAGTTTGCTTTGTCTGCCGCTCCTGTTTTTGTCTTTCTATTAATAGCTCAAGCTGGAGCAGCTCCTGTCCTCAGGAATATGGCGCTTACAGTATGTTACAGTAATGCAGAGGGCTCAATCACCACTGGGGGGAAAGCCCAGTGTTAGCGAGGACTGTTAATAAATGTTTAATTTAAATCCTTCGCTGGCTGGATTTATAGGTATGTGGCTCAAAAAAGGCTGAAAAACACTGGGTGGGACTATTTTAACAAGTACTATACTAACAAGTATATTTCCAAAGTACACAATTATGACAGTTTAACCACATTATATGAGGATAAGGTGTTTTATTGGTTTAAAAGGAGGATAAGAAGAAATTAACATTACCCTCAAAAGACAAAGGAAGCTAGGATGTATGTAAATCAGTTAGATTGTTTTATTATTTTCAGTTTTCAGTGTTTCATCATGCAAAATCTCTTCTATATGTCTTTAAAGATAATAAAAATAATAGTAATTAATGATTATATAGCACTGCTGAACTTATAAATTAACATATTATCATTTGTTGTAGTATCGAGCTGGAGAAATATCACAAAAATGTGATAATTTTGCATAAATTTATATTGGCAGCATGTTAGTTTTTCTGGCTTGTTAGCATGTCGTCATAGATGATTCCCAAAATATAAATAAATAAAATATGCATCAGATTGCAATCAGACTCTGCATCCTATTGTCATGACACAGATCTGTTTGAAATATATTTAAATACTGAAGTTTTAAAAGGGAGAGAACAATCTCCTCAGAGGAAAAGCTGGGCCAATTTTACCAAAGATGAAACATTATGGTAAAAAAAATGTGTAAAACTGGTTGGACTTGCTATAGTCACAGACACAGAAACAATTAGGATCAAAAGAAACTCACTGAGCCACGGTAACATTTCTTCACATCTTCATAGGACAGGTCTTCAATCAGCTGAAACCTGTGATGAAAGGAAAACAAATCCAATTAAAACAACACTTCTTTATACGTATGTTTACCTCTTAAACGCTCCTGCAAGCAAAATATAGCATCTGCAAGTCCTCTCAATGTAATACTGTGGACCAATATATATTCTAACAAGCACATCTGAAGGCAGATTAATGCCTTCATCCGGGCCAGCACGCTAAATGGTGGTTAGCTTGTGTGCATGTATGCAAAATGAGTGCATCCTGACTGTGTGTGTGTGTGTGTGTGTGTACATTGCATGAAAATCCCAGCTGGGTCAAAGCTTCCACACGACGAGTTAATCATCAGTGTGTGCATAACTGCAGCGAGACGAGGGCTGTCGCAAAGTAACATAATCAAAAGATAAATATTGAGTTGTTCAAACACAAATAGTGACCGTGCCAGGAGATTATCCATGTTGTTCTTTTTATAGTCAGAATACATCAACACACACAAACACACACACACACACACACACACACACACACACACACACACACACACACACACACACACACACACACAGACACATCCATCACTGGCATCAAGTTCGCCTCAGGAGGAATCGTCAGAGTGGTGCAGCAGATGTCACAGCATGATACTCGTATCTACTGCTAATGCAGACAGAACCACTCAGCAGATAAAATACAGTATAATCAGCCCCTTTAAGGAAAATGTCATTGAAATGAACTGCTGTTCCAGTTTAGATGCTTTAAAGAAGATGTCATGTATGCAACAATAAAAGGGCCTGATGGTTTTGAGGGATTATTTTCTGACACACTTCCCCCTTTTCTTCCGGTATCTTTATCTGAATGCAGCTGTTAGGTGATTGACAGCGACGCGACGCAGTGCTGATATGAAAAACACTCCCGCTCAAGGAGATACTGAAAAAAAAATAAAAAACAGAAGCTCTGGCAAAACTAAATTGCCGCTTCATGTTTACTGTGATGGATTATCTCACTCCGTGGAAGACATTTTTCATACTGTGCAACCAGTGAAAGGCATCAAATGAAGAGGGGGGATGTCAGCCTTGATATCTTCAACCCTACAGAGTGTATCAGGAACAATGTGAAGGAGATAGGAAGCCAAACACACATTATTGTAACAGTATTCATACTTTAATTTAGTTTAGTAAAACATATCAGTACCCCTTCCACCACTGCGTATAGTACAAGTTAACCTGGCTTTACTCCGCAATACAAGAACAAAGATGTTTCTTCATTTCCACATAAATCAACTGATGAAGATGTTTCCTTTCTGCCAGCTTTAGCATGACCTTTTCCTTTCTCTCTCTCTCTCTCTCTCTCTCTCTCTCTCTCTCTCTCTCTCTCTCCTTTGAAGAAATCAGACAGCTGCTTTTGTTAACTTTTATCTGAAATCAAGGACCCGTTGTTTTTACAATTACTAAGAATTTATTTTTAAATTTAAACTGTTAAATGGAAAATCTGCCTGTTGTCAGAAAAGAGCTCAACTGAGGTCGCTAAGCAACAGTAACTAAGGGTTTAACATACGGTCGAACCTCGTTGGAAAAGAAAAGGTCTAAATACACACAGTATGCTTATAGCTCAGCATTCGGTTCAGTTCTGTGAACAAATGTAAGTAAAGTAAATAAAATGTCTAATAGAACAATAGCCGAGCATCAGGGACGATAACTTCCAATAAAAGCAGGGTCCCTAATAGACGCAGGTCTCTTTTAAAAGCCTGGTGTGGCTACACGTTTTGACAAATAAACGCAGGTCTCCAATAGAGGCCTGGTCTGAATTTTATAGAAGTTATCTCGATGTATAAAACCTCTTAAAACCCACCAGGTCGCCCGCTTGAGCGAGTTTTAATATGTCAATATGTACATAATGAACATCATTAGATCAGTTAGAGATTCTCCACAATTCAATCGTATAAAATATTTTACGAAAACGATCAACAACAAAGTTTAACGTTAATTCATTCTGACTTACCGGTAATACGGTAAACAAGAGAGACGGAAAAAAACCTCATAATCATCATGTTAGTTGTCAAATTTGCTGAACAAAACTCAACAGAAGCAGCAGTCAGAGTTTAGTTTAGTTTAGTTTAGTTTTGTGCTAAAGGAATTAAACGCCTGTCCCAAATAGAGGCCTGTCCCAAATAAAGGCAGGGGGAGTTCAGTGGTTTAAGCAAATAAACACCCGGGCTATTATTAGAAGTTTTACGGTATATAAATAATAATATTAATCTGTATGATTGTTAAAAATTATTAAAACAATACATAATACAGACAGATAATTATATAAAAAGTTCCCTAAACTGGAAATAATCTTCTGAAAAATTAATCCAAATCTCCTTTAACTCACTTTTTTTTAAATAAGAAAATATGTCACTTAACGTTAGACATGGGTCATCAGCTGACTAGCTGTATGCACAGGTCTGTAAAAACTTGAATGCAAATGCAGAGTAAGGAAAACATAAAAAAAAATGTTCATCCTCTCTAGTTATTTTGAAAATATTACTAAATGCAAATGCTTTTCTCAACATGGCTGCCCTATGATTCATCATAATGTAACAGCACCACATTTGTATTCTCCTTGAACAGTGTCCTCTTCTAGTTTACAGCAAGGTGCCAGTATGTTAAAATACCCCTCGCTGTTACCTCTATAGCATCAGGACTGTGTGTGTCCCTGCTCTGATCACAGACTCTCCTCTGGGTAAGAAGATAGTGTGACCTTTGTCCTCCACACAACTCTCCCTGACTCTTCTCCTCTCTCCATGTCACTCTCCCTGTCATGGTGGAAGACAGTGGAGGAGAAACTCTGACCGCCGGGGCGTCTGTCATGATGACACCAAGATAATTATGTCAGGGGGAAATGCTGATGTCCATGTCTGAGCGCACAGCAAAACGACCAATGTAAGCTTAAATCTGAGAATGTAAAAACTAACACATAAAGTATTTTACTAAACATGTTGTCAAGAGTGGAAAATCAACTTAGTCTTCATTAGAAATTATATTATTTTGGAGTGGAAACTCATCATCTATACAATACAATATAAACCATATGAGGGAATAATAAACAAATCTATTATATTTTCATATTTTTACTTTTTATTATTAACTTATTATCAATTAATATCCCTTTATTTGTTTTGTTTACTGTCTTTTCACATGCAACAGAACTAGTGAAAGATGGCCTACAGTAATATCAGATAAGAGCATTATGTACAAACGTGTGTGTTACAGCGTAGCGGGTTTCTAAGTTAACCTCTAAATAAAAAGAGGAAGAACAGTGAGTAAAAAGCAGTAAGATGAGGGTGTCTGCAGCAGTTGTGAGACAGAATACGAGATATATTAAGAGATGCTAACAAAATCATGCTGGAAAAAGACCGAAGCGGTGAGCAGCGTGTGGAGAGGACGGGATAATTAGCTGCTATGCTGTCGTCTCCATGACAACTGAGCAAACTCCAATCCACTGATGAAGACGGTGGGATACGGTGGAAAGCTCCTGGAAAAAATAGCATGTGCAGAGGTGGCTGGTCGCCCCCAGGTTTGGTGTCAAATGCTGTCAGATTCATCACATTAATTTAGATGAATTCTAACATGTTAAAAAAAAAATTATTTAAAGGTGCAGTGTGTGGATCTATTGGCAGAAATAGAATATAATATTGATAGGTACGTTTTCATTAGTGTATAATCACCTGAATATAGGTGTTGTTGTGTTTTCGTTACCTTAGAATGAGCTGTTTTTATCTACAGACGCCACAGGTCACCCTCCTTGGAGGCTGCCATGTCTCTACAGTAGCCCAGAATAGACAAACCTTAGAAAGGAAAGGGTGAAGCCAGGGAGTCGCTAAATCCTACACACTGGTGGTTTAAAGTCTCCACGCCACCCCATGAATATCCCTCTATGATCCGCCCCTGAGCATGTGGGCCTTGAGCTGGGATTGTTTTGTAAAAAAAACAAAAAAAAAACACCTTTTCCAAGGTCAAGAGTGAACTTTTAAGCTCAACACAGAGCTGGTTTACATAATAACAGCAGCGGACATTATCCCCTTCGCAACGGAGAAATTCTTCCCCGGCTGATGTATTGGACTGTTATATCTTGTACAGGCGTTGCTGTTATTGTGTCCACCGCACTACGTGTGCACAGCACTGCTCTAAACTGGAGGCTTCATTGTGCCTGGGTGTAATATGAGTCTATATGTCTTCGAGCATTAGGTCATTAATCTTTGTCTGTATTGTTATTCCACCAACTTCCTTCATTTAGAGAATCAGGGTGATCAGATCACATTATTATTATTAATACCAGGTGTAAACAGGGCCAAAGTGAGATGCACAAGGCTGGAAAATCAGGGTTAAAGAGTCAGAGAGGAGGAGAGGAGGTTGACAGATGCTATGGCCGCCTGCTGTGTGTGTGTGTGTGTGTGTGTGTGTGTGTGTGTGTGTGTGTGTGTGTGTGTGTGTGTGTGTGTGTGTGTGTGTGTGTGTGTGTGATGTGTGTGCTTGTGTAAGAGCAGGATGAGGCTGTTGTTTACAGCGGAGCAGTACAGCTGTGGCAGCGCACCCAGCTCTCCTGCTGGATCTGCTGGACGCCTTACAGCCTCACTTAAAGTGATACATCCCTCCCTTTACATCACATATTTATCTTCAAAGACAGCACTAAGTAAAACCCAAAACCCAAACCTGCACCCGTCCAAAGTCTCCAAAACTTGAAAAATAATCTCTTTTCTGCTGTAACAATTGAATTTCTCTATTGTTACTTATTTTACATCATATTATGGGTTATGTTCTTACTCCTATGCATTAAATAAGTAAAATAGTGTCTAAAATATGTAAGAAATATACACTTTTAAAGGTCAGAATTCCCAAAAATGTGTTATATTTAATAATTGATCCACAACCAAACTAAATTACAGCAGAAATCAGGTCATTGATACCCTCTGTTTAACCTTTCCAACATTTAATTATGCAATGTAAAAAAAAATGTTCTAGTCCTAGATGTGCAAATTCATCACTTTCCTCATTAAACTCACCCGCCTAGAAAAGACAACCCATTATCTTGTGACCATGTTATGAACAATAGTGCATGTGTGCCGCTCTGCCTGCTGGTTGCTGCCTATAAATAGGACCCACAGTGGCTCTCGCACTCCCAGGTGGAGAGAAGAGAGTGATTATTAAAAACACAGGCAGCTCTGTGGGGACCAACCGGGGCTCTCTAGTCCTCGCTCTCGCTCTCCATCTGTCTCTCTCTTTTACACGAGATCCAGGTCTTAATCAATACTGCTGGTACATCAAGGTGAGTGTAAGAAGAAAACCCGCTACAGGCAATTCCCATCAAGATGTTAAGAGAGCTATGAAGGCGGTGCGTCAAGGTAAAGCTTTTTTTTTTTTTTTTTTTTACAAAAGGGTATAAAACAAGGTCATGCTTGGATGTCGCATGGGGGGGAAATGATGGACAGTTGTGGAAAATACAACAACTTTCAATAAAAATGTGTCTTTAGGTTTATTTTGGACATGATTCAGAGGGTTTGAATTGAAGCACTGAATTTTCCAGCTAAAGTAAAAACATAAAAAAAGGTAAGCTTGTAGAATTTCACACAGCAGCAACATAAGTTGGTTTTCCAGGTACCAGGAGGCTCAGTGGACTGGGGATCACACTGTGTACACGGTAGTGAAACTGCACATGAGGTATAATAACTCAAAAACCCTCACAGAGCAAGAACAGCTGTCTATGATCTTTACATTTCAGAAGCTGTGGTTTGGAAATGAAACTAAAACCTGTGTATCAGCTTAAACCCCTGTGAGCAAAGTAAAATGTTAACTGCTGTGAATGTGTGTGTGTGTGTGTGTGTGTGTGTGTGGTGTGTGTGTGTGTGTGTGCACGCGCATGCGTCCTCGTCACTGTATCTCAGTGCCCTTGGCTGTGAGGCTGAAAAGTGAAACTAATTACAACCTCAAAGAATCCTAAATTGAATCTTAAATTAGAAAGCGAACACCTCCCATCGGTGGCCAGTGTAGAAGAGGACTCCCAGTCAATAATTTAGCTGGAGGAGAATAAATTGGGAGCGAGAGTTGATAGAGTCGCTATGAGACTTCAAAGTGTCCATGAGGAATGAGTTCAAAATCAAAAGTCCTTCTTTTATCACCCACATGGTCAGTTGATATTTTGATTGTACTGCCAACAGACACACTGCAGTGAGTGAGCACCTGTAGCTTCATATCAGCCTTGTTTAAGACCACAAAAGGTTACCAGAGCTGTATTTTGTTCTTGCATATGAGGAAATCATTTACGCTTTTAAAGCATTATCCGAGAACTTTAGGGTCAAATATTAGGACACTGTGTTCGTGAAAGTTCAGTAGCAACTTCCATGTGATCATTTACTTACTGGTGATACCTTAAACCATGAGTGCAAACAAATTATGAAACCTTGTACTGCTTTGGGCCAACAATGTAATTCCTACTATATGTATACTATAACCCAAGTGTGGCTGCAGGACATTTGCATTACATTGCATGACCTGTGTAAAGGGAGCTGGCAGATATATGGCTGTGTTCATTTCTACTGTTTAGAAGATAGAACAAGAAAAGGCCACATTTTTAAGGAAACTGTGTTTTTACTTATTTCACATAAAATCACTGGGAAAAACTTAAATATGCAACAATTTCTTTTCCTTTTCAACTTTAGAAAGACGACAAATATCCTGCAAACACTAAACTGGAATAATGAACAGCAATGCTCTAAAATCAGTGCTGTAGTACTCGATGTATTTGCACTCTGACTCGTCTCAGACTTGCTCTTTGGTCTCACCAAAATATATACTAGTTTTTTCTTGACCGAGTCCAGCAATGTATTTTTTTCCTCCTTCAGAAAAACCCAAACATTGATGAAGTGCGCTTGTTCAGAAAACCGTTATTAGTTTAATTCAGAATCCATCTAGAACTGGCATTGACATTGGCTGCCTGGTAACCGTGGTGGACTCTCTCTCTCTTATTTGGACTAGATCTCGGACTTGGACTCAAACCTGTTCCAACTCGGTCTTGACTCAACTAGTCCTGGTCTTGGACTCAACAAAGGTGGTCTTGATTACAGCACTGCCATGAATACTCTGTTAGACGGATTAATTAATACAAAAAAAGTATTGTGTTTGTGAGATGCGAACTATAAACCCACAATGTGACAGGGATCACTTGTCTGAATTTTATTTTGTACCCTTTTATCCTCTTTTAGCTAATAGTTTGGGTTTTATAGCACATTTGTATTTACGCTCCAGTGCTCGCCCCTCTTATTTACATCTATAGCCCGCCACTTCTAGTCCACTCAATCTGATAAACCAGCTGTAAACTACCTGTCTGGCACAAAATGGCAGACAGACACAGTTGGCAACGAGCTGGTAAACAGTCTAGCAGCTCAAGAGCTAGATGCTAAATATAAGTTGTTGGTGACCAAAATAGAGCTGCAAAGAGAGTGATAGACAATCACTTGGCCAGAGACATAATTCACAATTAGCGTCGCTTTGTGTGTCCCAGATGTGTAACTAGTCATCAATCATAACGACTTTATAAGCCAGTGAAATGTGGTGGTTGTGACAGTTTATTTTGATGTTGATAGTGACCATAAATCAATGGAGGCAGCTTTGAATACTTATGTAAACAAATATTTACCTGCACAAACAGAGGAGTGTCGAGGTGAGGCACTGGGAGGGGATAAAAGATGCACACATTGCTTACGGAGTGCTGAGTGACGGACATGTGCATAAAGTCCCTCCCATTCACGGAGTCTAATAACACACACCATGCTTCAGTGCTAAATCCCATCCCAGAACAGATTCCCCAGGATTACACTGCTCCTGCCTCGAATCCTTCTTATATAACACACACACACACACACACACACACACACACACACACACACACACACAACACACACACACAGGCTGCAGACACACATATAGTATGCATATGAATACTTTAACAAAAAAATATTATCATTTAAAAGTTTAACTACAGCCATTAAAACTTTCCAAGCACATATGTTCTCTCCAGGCCTTTGGGTCGTCCTTTGGAAAACTTTGTTAGCGGCCTCTTTGTGTGCATGTTTGACCATTGTTTGACATCAAATACAGCTGAAATAAAAGCATTAAAAAAAATAAGTGCTGAGAAAATAAATCTCCCAGGGCTGTAACCCATGACCATGCACAGGATACAGATGGTGTGTGTGGGGGGGAAGGAGCATGGAAAGACAGCAAGTGCTGCAGAGAACAGTGTGTGTTTGAGTGTGCGAGATTTGCCTGAAGTGGCCGTGCGTGTCATCGTCCTTGGAGGGTTCCAGGTCCTGTGTTGAGAGCAGGCCTGTTTCTTCACTGTGCTCCTGCTGCTCAGTCATGCTCCTGGCCCTAAACACACAAACACACAGCTCTATGTTAACAGCAGGCACCTCACCGCTGGACGTTCATGCACATGCAAACGATGTTTGTTTTTGTGTTCAGGTTTGGCCTCAAAGAGAGCTCTTTCTCTAAAAGTTTATGGGGGCAAACAAGTGGACTCTGTCTTCAGAATCAACACAGTGGTGATGCAACATTCAAAGTCTGATTCTGCTGGTGTACACTACATTAAAAATCTCTACTCAGCAAAAACAAAAAAGCTGTGTTCCTTGTGCTTGTGTAATGCGGTCGGTGTCTGCTCTCACCCAGATGTCTACAAAGAAATAGAGCACCTCAGAGGTTGTGCAGATGGCTGACCTGGTGTGCTGCTGTGAGCTGACTCAAACATTTTCTAAAATATACTTGTAATTCACTGTCCCGGATACCAAAAGAAGCAGAAACCAAAGATATGACCGTATAACTTGTGTAATGTGGGATATTTTCAAACAAAGATTTCTTCCTGCACGTACAAGTACAGCGAAGCATGATACACAGGCTGATATTGGTACTATATCATATAATATAATATTACGCTTGAGAAACGTTTACTGTGATGGATTATTGTGGCTCAGGTCATTTTAAGGGCTCGTTGGAGTTGTTTTGCATACAGTTTGAAATGGATGGCAGCAAATGGCTTCCTGTGGGAGGGAAAACAAGCCTTGCAACCTCCATCTACAATGAGACCACAAAAGCAACAGAAAAATAGATGAGTGATCCAGATATTTCTTGAATTTCCCTCGGGATAAATTAACATTTGAACTGCCAATGTTTAAGTTTAAGATGTGAATTACTTTTATCTATTTTACCTGTCATCCTTTAATACATTAAACTAACTTTAACTAACTATTTCAACTATTTCAATAGTATATCCATTACTGTTACTACTACTTTTGGTTATTTACTTGCCCTTTTGTACCAGGGATCTGGGGTCTATTTCTCTTCTAACCCAAGATGTAGACGCAGAGCTGAATAGCCGCTCACTGTTTGGTATTTGAGTATCTGAGTTGTGTCTGACATCGGCCTATTGCCAGTCTTATGTGGCAATAGGCCGATGTCAGTAAACAAGGTGAATATCGGCTGATAACGATGTTTAGCCCACTGGTGCATCCCTTGTTCCTTACTGTAACTATGGCAACTGTTTATCCATTACTTTTAACTGTATATTAGCAAACTATATAATGATACACTATATAACCATTATGGCCTACTTATAACTAACTGTTTATCCATTACTTTTAACTTCTTATAGCTTGTATTGTATTATTACAACCATTTATCCATTACTGATAAGCTGTTTATCCACTATTTTAACTTTATTTTCCATTAGTTAATTGTTTCAATACGTTCTTAATTAATGTGTCACAGGTTGGTGTATGTACTGTGCAGTGAGCCTACACAGCCGGTAGCTTACTTGTTATTGTGAACAATCCCATTCTGTTGTTTATTTTCTTCCTTAACACAAATATCTGGATCTATTTTTTTAATCAAATCTGAATTTACTTTTTAAAATGATCTGAGTCTTCAGATCCACAGTCTTCCAGGTGCTCCATGGCAACTGCAGAGGTATCCCCTGGGGTACACGCACCCCCTGGTTGGGAATCACTGATCTAGAAGATAACTAAGAAGAAAGAAAAGCTGGTGTTATCCTTTAAACAACACAAGCACTGAAAAGCTTCTTTTATGTTTCTCCCTCTCATCTGCACATCAAATCTCTCTCTTTCTTTCTCACAAACGCACACAAACACCCACCTGCCCTGTGCCATATTTTCCTCTGGGAGAGGGGGAAGTCGTTACCACCTGCCCTGGTATAATTACAGGTGCTGATGGAAATAGGCTCCCTCATGCAGCTTTCCAATGTATTATCTCTAATTGGCCAGAAGCTACACGTCAGCCGCTGACCTGTTCAAACAACAGAGGCTTCCTGGTTCTAGAGGTTTTACATCTGACTGGTTATCTGTGATCAGAGGGTTGAATGGGAGGCGTAATAGATAAGGAAAGGGTTTGTAGTTTCACCTTAAGCCTGAGGTTAAAGGTTTTAAGAGAGGTATCTGAACCCAGGTGTGTGCCCGAGGGCACAATGGAGCCTTGTGGTGCTCCTGCAGTTCACTTAAAAACAATGTTCAAAGGGTGCCTGTAGTTGTGCCCAGCAAAATAAAAACTTACGACGCATCCTTACACATTTGTCAACTACTGGAAATTAAAACATCCTTAACAATAAGAAAAAAGCCTCAAAGCATTTTTACCGAAGTCCTTGTTGGGAAGTTTTAGACCATGCAAACCACAAAAACTGCAAGTCATATATTTATTTACATAACTGTTGACCATTTTCAAAAACACACAATGAATTTTGAGATTAATCTCCCACATTTCAAACAGCTATTAGTTCACTTTCATTTGAGCTTGCAGAGATGTAAACGGTTGCATGAGATAGTGGACAGTTTCTCACCATATCTTTATTTTACGTAGAGGAAACAAACTGTTTATGACCCTTTAACTGACAGCTGGGAATTTTTTGACACCACTGTGTGTCCTTGTCCAACAGGCTTGGGGAATAGACTTTGGATGGTTCTCTGGTTACCCCATTCACAATATGTTTGCTTGCAGTCTAAAAAAAACCTTATGAAACACATCCTGGCCCTAATCACAGAGTCACTGACACTAACAACCCTGTGATAAACATTCTCATTATATGACTGTGAGAAAAACTGTTTTTTGCCATAAAGAAGTTGAAATCTTTGATCTTATTTAGCCTGTGCAGGTTTGCAGGGATTTGAACTAAACAAATGATTGAAAATAAAACAATAAATGTTGCCTCAGTTAAGTTTTATTGTTCCTGCTGGTGAGTGGACCACGAAGGGGACAGAATATACCAGACTTTCTGTGTAATCTGAAAAAGTGGGTTTAATCCTGCGGCAGAAGAGCAGAAGAGTAGGGCTGCCATTGTGGCGGTAAAATAATCCCTGGGAACAAATTTGTCCACCGACAGGCTCAGATTGTTATTCAGTCTGACATTATAGAAAGGAACACTACAGAAATAGACACTATTACTCGACACCAGACTCCATAGACAAAAACGGTAATTTTACCTCACATATTATCATAACATTGTAGCTTCATTCAAACTCAACAGAAACTAAATGAAACTTTGTAAGTCTTCCTACGTGTTCCAACAATCACCAGCTCTGGTTTGGTCAGAATAAATCCTTAATTCCCCAACGGAGAGATGAGAGAAACCACGGTTTCCTAACACGGCGGGACTCAAATACACTAACTGTACTGTACATGCACGGCCAGACCAGGTATGTAAACAAAGCACAGACAGGCTGGGATAGCAACACAGACAGTGGGAGTGGGACATCATTACTCTAATTACTGGTATATTAATGTTTTATATCTCATATATGCAACCTTTAAACCTCCCAGTCCACTCAGTGTGTACCTTGTTCCTGATATAGTCAACAAGGTCTGCTGAGCTCCTCTTAGAGGCAGGATATTCCCGTATTCCTACACAGTCACTGTTGATGAAATCACCACAAACTGCAGCAAACTATATGAGGAGTTAAAGGCTCTTGGTGTTCTGGTACTCTGGGGCAGTTACCCTGCTCTGCCTGATGTTTGTGTAAGGGTTTATATAAAGGACTACCCTGTAGAATAACACCAGAGTCTCTAACCCTAACTGGATGCAACAGGGAGTTAGTGAAGCAGGAGAAGTGGAGTGGAAACACTTTGGGTGGGTAGCTGCAGTGGTATAATGGCCAAAGCTTTACTCTTGTTTCAGCAGTAACTCATCTAACGGTCTAAACACGCCGACTCTTACAGCAACACTGCATTTTTCCCTTAACAATACATATGACCCAGCGTGGTAGCACTGTGATACTTCTCCAAAAGCAACAAGTAAAACAATGACTTTACATTAGAGCGCAGAGGTCAGTAAACGTCTTCATTGCACTTCCAGGCCTCCCTTGCTGCTCTGGTCAAACTTTCTACATGCTTCTCCTCCTCCGTGTCCTTCTTTCGTCTCAGCAGACACACTCTGTCACAAGACGTCCTCCAATCCAATAAACTGTAATCTTGTTAAGGTTGCTAGCCATTGGGATTGTTGCTGAAGAGTTACTGCACTGTCTCTCCCTCCGGTCGTCCCGTAGCTCAGTGTTGTTGTTGTTGTTGTTGTTCGATGCATATCACTTTTAAATCTCTCTTTTACTGTCTATTTTTAAGCTGTTGGATATAGTGCGCTGCCACCCTCCCACTTCCTGTACGCATTAAGTAAAAGCACTTAAAACACACTCTGCCTATTTGTTCCTCTGTGGTCACAGGAGCTCTTTTGACAGTTTAATAGAGTATCCACTCATATTACCACACCTGAGCTTTCAGTAACTCAGACAAGGCCACTGGCTTTTCCAAAAAATGTGCCAAGTGCTGCGGTAAATGAGCTAAAAGAAACTCTAATTAATGCTGAACTTTTCTGTATTGGATTGTCAAGTGAACACCTTTACAGCAGACAGCAGGCACAACGCTTTGTTCACAGTGGGTTTGTAGTTGTTTCGATCATTATGGGAGAATCTCTCTCGTGTGTGGGTTGAAACTCTGAAAAACAAGTGTACTGAAACCCAAAATAAAGGAAAAGATAAGGCCTAAGACAGTTCATTTTCCGAGCTTTGGTACATCACTTGGCATCATTATGATTTTCCACATAATGCCGATTGTCCTTGGATCTTTTTCCTTGTTGTTGTACTTTATTTGGTCCTCCTGGATTTCACAGACGCAGACAGTCAATGAAACTGAGACAGAAGCACAGCCTTTGGACTCTGCACTCTGCACTGCTTGAGACCTCCTGAAATAACCTCTTCATTGTGCAAGCACCTCAAAACAGCCTTTGATGACCCAAGTGTGTCTTTAAGCCGTTACAAGGCTCCCAATGTTCTTCTTACTGAAAACTATTTGGAGCACAATAATTACTGTTCAGTGTGAAACCCAAAAGGGAGATTTAATGGAGTTCAAAGGGGAATAAATACATAATAAACACTAAAGTGATTGTGTTGTCTCATTAAGACACCAAACAAAGTCATTTATCCATTATTTATTCTATTGGGAAGGTTTGAGTAATGTCAGGCTTCATAAAAAATGTTTGGGTAAAAGTCACCACTTTTCCTCTTTAAAGAACTACTTTCAATATGACTTTGAAAACAGTTTCTATTAATGAACCCTGTCTTTTACTATCAAAAGCAGAAACAAGCGTCCAGTTTCTCAAACAGACGCAAGGTTCACATTCTTCAAAATAAAAGCGGTACATTATTCATTTTTAAACTATAATAGATTTCTCAATGCAACACGACATAATGCACACAAGTTTTAAGTTTAATATCTTAACAGAAATTGGTAACTGGAGAAATCCGGACTCAACTCTAATCAATGTGCTACCAACACACATCTATGGCACTTTCTGTGTCAAATTTCAATATGAACTAAAATCATACTCATATTTGATTTACACATACTACTAGACATCACTACCCCACTGATAATATTTTTCCATACATAAGCTTCTTTTATGTCCACTGATGCCCAGATTTTTTTTACAAATATCTGCTTTTATTTTGAAATCCTCCCCGGTAGCGCCCGCTCTTCCTGCCTCTACCTTGACGTCAGTACTCCTACCTGTAGCTCTACGAGCAGCCGCGACTTTTTCCTCCGTGTTGTCGCCGTGTATCCCCGCGAAACTCCTCCGGTGTGCGCGGCATTTCCTCAGTCAGATCATTTTCATATTATTAAAGAATGAAAAAAAATAAAACTGACATTAAAAAGCTGCAAGTTTGGGGCACTTTAGGTGATTCAATGTGGAGCGGAGAGCCGTGTTGACGGAGCGGGAACCTCCTCAGAAGTGCGTCCTGTGCGCGGTGGGTTGAGCTTACCTATTGCGCCGTCAGTGTGGGCTGTGTGCGCACTGCCAGGGGGATTAAACTGCGGCTATTCTCTTCCCACAGACTCCCAGAATAACTTAACGACTGGCTCATTAATCATTACATCAGCAGGATTGACTGGTAGTGACTGCGAGGGTGTCTGGTGGTGTTTAATACCCGCAGTAGGGAACCCATTAGGGGTTTTTATACATTTTATTATATTATTTATTTAAGGTTTTTTATTGGTAAGAATATGGCGATGCGATACAGGTGTTACGGTTCAATATATTACGATATATCACGATTCTGTATGTGGCAATATATTGCAATTTTTCTTATTATAAATCAAATTTTTTGGGGAAAAATCTGATTAATAAAACAAACATTTTCATTTATCACAGGCCCAGTTTACATAATGACACTGCTGTTATTGATTATCAATATATCATTAGACAAAATATTGCGATCCAATATTTTAAAATACTTTCTTACACTCCTATTGTTTAACAGGTTATATACATATAAAATCAGGGATTTGTCTTTAAGTTTATAATAATAAACGTATTATTGTCTCAGTCTCAGTGTTTGTTATGATGTTAATAACTGATTAGTTTATAAAGGTATTGACAAGGGCTGCACAATTGTTATTATTTATTATTATTATTATTATTATTAAGAGTTCAATATCCAAATCGAGAAAAAGCTGCAATTTTCAGCATTAATTAGTATAATTAATAATAATAATAATAATAATAATAATTAATGAAGTGCTGTAGTGCCTCAGAGATTCTCCGGCCAACACAACAAAAGTCACATCGTCACAATTTTAACAGTTTTTCTCCTTTAAAGCTTAAACTCGTGATGCAAACATTACTGTTCCCATTAATCGTGAATCACATCGCAGTCGCTGTATCGAGCTGTTAGTATAGTACTGACTGTGGTGGAATGTAACTAAGTACATTTACTCAAGTATTTTCAGTTACTTTACTTTATGCTACTTTATACTTCTTCTGCGATACATTTCAGAAGCCACTGTTGTTCTCCAGTGTGCATTTATTTGATAATCAATATAAAATATAGTCAACTTATACATTATAGTATATTATTATGGATTTAGTTACTATCAGTATATAAAGTAAATTAAATTAGCCCCGCCTTTATCACCTACAACATCAGTGACTCTTACACATAAATGCATCATTAATTATTAACCATATATACTGTTTGGTATGTATATTATTCTGATGGGTAATTCTGTATAATGAGTACATTTACTTTTGGTACTTTAACTATATTTGTTTATGCTAATAGATGCTGTATTTTAAATACAGGACTTGTAACAGTGTATTTTTACACTGTGGTACACTGTGATAATTCTACGTACAGACTAAAAAATGTCAACGTAGAAAAGTAGTAAGTTAATATTCATGAATAGTATCGAGAGCATTAGTCTAAAAATCAATATATTGATTGATGAAATGATTGAATAACAATCTTCTCCTCTGTAATAATGTAATTTTTGGGGGGTTTTGGTGATTATAAAGGTAATGTGTGACATGGTACATTATTATTTATTACATATTATAAAGTAAATGAAGGTTGAAGGAAGAAACATTGTGTCCAACTAAAGACAAAAACAAGCTGGTGTGTGTGTGTAATGATGGAAGAAGTATTGAGATGTTTTACTCAAGTAAAAGTATTAACACTAAACTATAAAAACTCAATTTATGTGGTCGAGGTGGGCTAATATTTAACTACTTAATATCTAGGTTCACTTTATGTTCTTTTAACTTTTAGATGTAAAAGTAACTGCAGCTGTCAGATAAATGTAGTGACGTAAAAAGTACAATATGTCCCTCTGAGAAGTAATGGAGTAGAGGTATAGAGTACAGCACTTGAGTAAATATACTCAGTTACATTCAACACACATACACACATTCAAGCATTCAGTAAATATTCCAACATCAGCTGTGTGTCACGTTAAAGTTGAGTTCAGGCTCTCAGGTTAAAAAGACAGAGGCACTTTTCAAAGAGGCTTTTTATACTCGGGACAAGTTTCAGTACGTTCATTGTGCTGGAAAAATACTGTAAAAAGAGGATAAACTCAAAGACCTCAACCCAAACGCTGCTGCAAAAGGTGGATTATATTAAGTTTAACAGCATTTGAGTCGCAAACTTTTTAAACCAATCGAGACCGACTCACCTGCGTCCAACCTGCAGGTGTAACAAAGCTTTAAAAACATATTTACTATTTACTATATTCACTTTGTCGTTTACTTTTCAAAGTGTTTGTTTTGTCTCCTCCCATGTGCATGTACCCAAAGTCAAACTGGACACAAGAAATTTTCTCTAAATCCTTAAATAAATTTAAATTCTTAGCATTATTTTTCATATTAAGTCTTATTTTTCTTCATAAAAACACTTTTAACCCATTTTGTCCCAGTTTGAACACATCTGACCCTCTAACATCTCCTCCTCTGTGATTGGCTCAGATTCAATAAGGGCCATTAACTGAGCATCAGTTGCTGTCACCTGGATTCACCCTGACAAGCGTTTGGTACCTTCAGTGCACTTCCTGTGTGGTGCTGACTGACCTGGCTCTGCTGGCTGCTATCCTCTGACTGCAGTTACCATGAGGGTGGCGGTAGTTGGGGAGCTGGTAGTATCTGTCCTGGCCTGGGGCCTCGTCGGCGGGCAGGGCCTTAGGGCTGGCTGCGTAGATAGTGCATCCCATGAACACCTCCTGGAAGTCACCCTCGGTGTTCTACAGCGAGCGGAGAAGAGCCGTCCTCAAGGTATCCTTCCTCTGAGCGGCCTGTCCTGTCCTGATGCCAGCCAGCTGCTCTGTGGAAAAGCCATTGGCTCAGCACATTGCTATCTTAACCCCTCCTTCCCATCTGAATCTCTCCTCCAGCCAACCTCTCTCTCTCTCTCTCTCTCTCTCTCGGCCCTCCTCCCTCCTCTGAGCTGAGAGCATAGAGGATAATCAGATTTCACATTTACACTCAACAAAATCATCCGCGGCGTAATCGCTCGCTGTCACTGATGTTGCATTATGCTAATGCTCGGAGCGTACACTCTCAGTTCGGGAGCATTAGGGGGCAGTTAAAAATATCCTAACTGACAGATAGGAGTGAGAGTGAACTATAACAGCTGGTCCAACATGCTGCTTAAAGGCTGCAGCGAAGAATCATTTTTCAATGAGATCGAGGATGGTGGGAGGAGGGAGGTTGGAGTGTGACGTCAGAAGCGTCTGGCTTTATTTTCTATTATGAAAACTATACATTATTAATTCAAATGAATAGCACCTACAGTATAATATGAGATAGAGGGATATTCTGCATCCAGTGCTCATTATTCAGGTGGATATTATGCATAATGAGCACCGCTGTGGCCCCCTTGGCAGCGCCCCTGCACAGGACCCCTTTAAGGTGAGCACATACATCTTTCTGCACAGTGAAGCAGTTGTTTTTAAAGAGGAGAGGGGACTTTGAGAGATTAGTTTATTATGAAAATGTGTGTGATTTCAGGATTACATAATGACTCAAGTCAAACCTTTATAAACAGGTCAGTCAGCAGGTGAATCTCCCTAAAATCTGACATTGGCTCTTTAGAGACACTGCTCTCCTGTGGCCAAATGTCACAGTGCAGTTTACATATTCTGATGTGGATTTCTAAGATCATCCATCCGACTTCTCCAGGAGAGGAATATTAAATCAAACCCAATGTCGGACTCTTAAAACCTATGAATTAGTTTAATGTCTCAAACGTATAAATGAGTTATTGTTCCGAGATGACTGAGACTCTCTTTTATTGATGGTCAGCGGAGGAGAGTCGTCCTCGAGGTATCCTTCCTTCCTCCGAGCGGGCCGTCCTGTCAAGATGGACAAATATTACTCTGAAGATGACACCTGCACATAAACACAAACTGGAATACTTAATGGTAGCTGACATTAGGGATCATTTAACAGAATCATTATCTGAATTTCCACAGCATTGACGGAGTAGAAGCCATTGAAGTTCCCAGGACAGATTGTCTCATAAAAAGATTTATTTTTTTCCAGCCCAAATTTACAAAGGCAAGTTACAGAGTATTGTATAAAAAAGAACCATGGTAATGTACACTTTACACAAACTCCTGAAGGGCGGGAAAAAGGTGGAGAGGGCGAAGAGTTCTGAATTTTCTCACACAGAAAGAAAATGAAGACATTGTAAACATCCTTGCAAGCACCAGAACTGGTACTTTTTTTGGGGGGTGGGGGTAGGGTAGGGTAGGGGAGGGTTGGGGAGGGAGAGGGGAAGGGAGACGGGACAGGGGAGGGGGATTTGTGTGACAGTAGGCGGGTCAGGAAAGGACAAACGAGCAAGTGTCTCTGCGTTTTCACAGAAGAATGTTCAACTAGGCACCAATTGAGACAACTGCTGGCCAATAAATATACTCTTCACCATGAAACAAATACAGTCCTGCAAAATACAAGAGCCAAGCACTTTCCAATATGTTGATAGCAAACATTACTTTTCTGGCTTTTTCATACACTTTAGTATATATGATTTTTCACTGGGCTTTTGCTTTACTACTGAGATAACATTACTACTCTCAGAGAGAGAACAAATGCACTTGTCACAACCATTGTCTGATAAAACTATATGTACTGTATGCAGTCTGCTGGTACTAAAACCCACCGACTTTAATGACAACATCACAGCTGCCTAGATTACCCTTACAGATTAAGTACAAGTCAAACACCACCACATTCAGCGTATTCATGTCAGCCATTTCTTTAAAAAAAAATGCGCAAGAAGTCAAAAGACATACCGTCCTGCAAAACTTCTGTGGGACGAGAAACTGGCAACTTATTTACTGGGAATGTCCGAGAACCTCAAAATGAAGAGCTGCGGTTTCGTAATCGCGAGCAGTCTCTCAACAAACAGCTAACATCCAACGTCAGAGGGTGTCAGACATGAGACTAACCGGTGGCTTATGGACTTTAACGAATACAGTATCAAATGAGAAAGAAAAAAAAACCTACAACAATGGGAACATTAAAAGTGATTGTAAAACCAAAATCAATAAAAATTAAATTTAATGACAACATGGTCAATATTCTACTCATTATAATGCTGCGGAGGAACGTAAAAAGACTGTTCACAGGCCACAACAGCACAGTGTGGCATTAAACCTTTAATAATTCCCTATCCTGAGCCAATTTGTCATTTCTGAATGAACCACTGCAGCACTTCCAGCTCAGAGCAGAAAATGTGCTTTTTTTTCCTCCTCCACACCCATAAACAGAAGAAGAAATCAATGCGACGTGGATAGAATTTCACTTACAACCCCTGAGGTATAAGAGAACTGTGATTTAAAGCCAAGAAGGGTCTTCTGGTAGAACAGGACACATTGAGAGTCGTGTTTTTGTGTAGATTTAAAGTTGAATTTACAGAGTGGGACCACCAGTTCGGGATCCGAAGGAAAGCACCGATCAACCTTCTTATTTTCAGCAGATTGGGAACCTTTGAGCCTTCCTACATATGTGCACGATCAAGGTCCCATTTAACTCACTTTACCACATTTGCTCCAAGCTCTTCCAGTCCCTCCAGGATTTCACAGGCCTTTTTTTTTTTTTTTTTTAAATGGGATTAAAAATGACAGATTTCACAGCGGGTTTTAAAAATTTGATGTTTTTATGTAAATGTTTGCTATGAAATTGCCGGAGAAAAGTGAAAATTGCACTTTTTTTTGTATAATTAAAAAAAAAATTAAATTAAAATTTATTAAAAAATCAAAAGGCAACTTGTTCCAGTAAGAATAAAATGTTTGGAGCGTAAATATGAGACGTGTCTGCGTGGTCTGCATCTCCACATCTACAAGCGAGGAAGTGGTTTGGTGACGTGCGACTCAACGATTTGTCAAATTTGGGGAAAAGTTGCGGTGGTTGGACGAAATTGCAGAAATTGCCCAGAGTTCATGGCGACTGGTTGTATTTGAGTAAATTCCTGGAGGGACTGTTTTTCACTGGCTCGTCCTCGTCATTGACCTGCATCTGAATGGTTCATGTTTGATCTGTAACAGTAACAGCTGAAAGACGTTCAGAGTCATTTCATGCAGTTTAATGTGCCAGTAGTTGACCTCACAGCAACTGAAAAAAGTAACCTGGTGTCTGACGTATCAGACTCATTGGCCCAGACTGGGACTGATCCAAAGCTTGCTGCTTGTAAGAAGAAGAAAACCATGCGAACAGCTGTGAGAGGTGAATGTGTGTTATGGTGAAGCCACACGAGCAAGCGAAGCACCGAGAGAAATGTTCAACCTTTGACACAAATAGCCTGGAACTCAAACTGATTCACTGTTTTGTTTTCACTGAATCTGACTGAATTGTCAGTTTGAGTTGCTGGTGAATCGCTGGAAACACTCAGGGGTCTGGAACCAGTCTGATTGCACACTGCATGCTGGGATGAATGGAGATGTGAACCACGTTTAAAGGTAAATCACATTAAAAAGAAATCTACAGCAAGATGACCAAACCTGGGGCGAAGAAGAAGAAGCACAGTGAGATGTTTAGGGACTCTGCAGCATAAATCATCTGAGCACATAACGTTAAACGCTGTCAAGGCCAAAGCTATTTAACAGTGAAGGTTTTTAAACAGTTGCGTGCTGGGATAAATATAAACATTTATGCACATAAAAGTAGGCTAAAAGTCTATATTACAGCAGAAAAATACATGAGCTGAGTGAAGTTTCACATTGTTTACAGAAAAACGATCAAACTTGACGAGCTGAACGAAGCACAATCTTACAGTAAAAACACCGAAACACCCACAAAGTGGCCTGATGACGCTCTTCCCCCCCCCCCACCACCGTGAACGCATAGCTCGCTAATGTGGCTTCACCGTTTGAGAGAGTGGAAAGACAGATGTGACCCTTTCGTTGTGAGGGAAAAACAGGAGTAATACCAGCATCAGACACATTCAAGGATGAACACAATGATATGGAGTACGGTATTTTCTGAGAAAAGAAAACATGAATAGTGTTTATTCTCCATTGAGGTGTGTGCGGTCCCTTCGCAAAACATGACGACATCATCCCTGAAACAAGAACTGAGGGTTCAAAAGAGGATGGGAATCAACAATGACGATGGAAAATTAAAAAACTTCAGTCTCAGGCTCTTAAGTCTCTGAAGAAAGCAGCTGTTGCCATATTCCCTCTCCCCACGAAATATAGCCAAACATTTGTCAAGTTAAGGATATACTGTTGTTTCACGGCGTACAATAAGCCAAAGACATAGAGTTGAAATCATTTCAATATGATTCACTTTTTTTTTTTCAGTCTTTAATTTAGTTTGACTCCCCTTTCCCCCCCATCAGCCACCCAACATCCCCTGCCAATTTCTTTCTGCGTGTGACAAAAAACAATGCAGTCAATGAAAAAAGAAAAAAGAAAAATAATAATAACAAGAAAAAAGCTGTTCTGGCAGTCCAATTGTCTCTTTTTGCATTGTATTTGTTGACAGTGCAAAGACTAGATAATCAGCGGGTTGGTGTTTCCTCTGCGTGATGAGGCAGAGTGATGGCTTTGAACCTGGGTTACTATCAGTCCTGTTACAGTCCAAGGTCTGGAAAATTTGGGGTCACTTACGAGGGGACGGGGGACGGGGGGGGGGGGGGAAAAAAAGTCGACAATCTGCCTATCCGTGGGGCAGAAGAACTAAAAATATAGATAGAAACACCATTCAACTGATGTCTAAAAGGTAACACCCGGGAGATTTTCTTCTCATGTGAGCCAGTCACATGAATCTTTGCAGGGTTGAGGTGTGACGGTCAGGTTTCCCTGCGAGAGATACAAAGGAAATACTTGTTTATTATCAGATCACTTATTACATAAAAATACAGAAACAAGAAGAAAAAGGGTGCTGCTGAACATGCAGCTTACACTCAGTGGCCAGTTTATTAGGTACACCTAGCTAATACGAATGCAGTCTAACAGTCAATGCAATAAATCCTTCATGTTATAATGTCCAGTTTTTACAATATTTATAGTATTATTAGTTCGTGAAGGCAGGACTGCTTTTGTATAACACTGCATTAGTTTTAAACTGGCAACTGAGTGAATATTTACTTTCCAAATTACTTGTAATTTAAAAGAGCTGCCACTAGATGTCAGTGTAGGCTGCTCTGGCTGAGTGTCTTGGCGAGCTCATTCCATGTCTCCATTATCAACACTGTGATCCACTTGTCCTCAGAGGACCTACTTAGGATGGATGAGGGGCTGAGGGGCTAAATGCTGCACTGCATATTGCACTAGACTGCAGCACAGTAGTAAGGGCTTTGTTTGGCCGGGATCTGTTTTCTTTACAGGTTGCTGCCTCTGAGTCTGCACCTCAAGTCTTGTAAGGAAAAGAGCACAGTGTTCTTTTCTCTTTGAATCAAATAAACAGGAGACAAAGAAACATATGGCATATTTTTTTACAGAACAATCTACCTCTGTGCCAGTACTTACCAACCTACCGCCTAAATGTTTTTAACTAGAGTTATGTGCATTGTTTATGTAAAACACAACATCTGCCACGTGCATTTGTCAGGGTTGCAAACATAGCTCTGTGCGTCTCATTAGGTTTGTGTTTTGTTTCACTGTCAGTCTTCTGCGTGTCTCTCCGACTAAGGGGGGTCTTACCGTTCTCACCTCCGTGGTGGTGGGTAGAGGGTGGGGGTTGCTGCTTGTTGGCTGGCAACAATAGCTGATGAGGAGAGACCTATGGCGAGTTGGAAAATGTATGGCTATCAGTGATATTTCCTATTTAGGTTCTGAACTTAGATCGCTGATCTTCCATAATTTAACAGTCTGCATCTACTTACAGTTAGTATTCAGGACTGTGGGCCTTTTATTTAAAAATTTAAGTAACTGGCATTAATCTACTTTGCATGAATAAGACCTTAAGTATGTAAGAACAGTATAGAATTTAGTACAGTGGCTGTCACAAAGCAGAGATGAGTAGGCTGACTGACCTGTGGCGTATGACAGGTCGTATTGCAGGGGGTATCCCAGGTGGTGGTGAGAGGGCATCATGCGCTGGGAGGGTGAGGATCGTGGTCGGTCCACGTCTCTTTCTCTTTCCCGCTCACGCTCCCTTTCCCGATCTCTGTCTCCACCGGCTCCTCTGTCCTGCTCCCTCTCCCTGTCATGGGGTGGCTTGTCACCTACTGTCGGGGATTTGCTCTTGTATTGGCTGGCGTGCTGATGCAGGATATCCAGGGCTTTGGAATCCGTTGCTGTTTTGGTGACAGTAGGGCTAGCGCGAGATTTGTCGCAACCTTCCTCACCTCCGGCTATTTTACTGCCATATGGAGAAAATGGATAGCCTCCGGGTAGGTACGAACCTATGAGTGATGAAGAACATTTACCATTTAAATATGTTAAATAAATAAGGTTTATTATACCAAAGTGACAACTGATGATTGATTAGTCTCATTAACATTTAGATCAATAAAGCAGAATAGTCAACACTATTGATTTTAGGTCACCAACCAGTCCATGTTGTCTTCTAGGCAATATGTCACACTGTCTGCCTAACAGGGCTTTATCCAGGTACTGAGAGTTAAATAGTCTCAGCATATTTTCTTTATATGGGATCATATTTTTCTTGAAAATGAAAACACACACTGTAAATATTGCAACGTGGTTGACCACATCAGCAAAATGTGGCGTTTTCATTTCATTTGCAAAGTGGCTTTAAGAAGAGCTTTTCTCCTCTGTGGCCACATTGATGTGAGATATCAACTGGACAATTCCCATGTCTGGTGGTCAATCATCAGGCGTGTTAGTGTGATAAAAACTCTACCATTTATTTATTACACATGTACACTGTACTAGAACATGTGTACTATATTTGGGCTGCATATATAAAACAATTCAACCAATCTAAGTAGTATTTCTAAAAGCTTGCAATTTTGCCTACCCTTAAAATATTTCAGCAAAACTAAAAAAAATATTGAGAATGTAAACATGCTGGCAATTTCCACAGATAATAATCCTATTCAGAACCACTGTTGGGAAGATAGGTTGATTGAGTTGACCTATCTAACTTGCTGTGTTTTGCCCCCAATAAGCTCCACCAAATGATTATTTCATGCTGCTTTACAATTTGTAAAAAATAAAAAAAAAAATAACTGCAATTCCGAGCGAAACAACGAAAAAATGGCTTCAAATCTATGTAGAAAATTCCAGCCATTATGTTTTCAAAAAGTAATGCATGCATGCATACCTGGGTAATTCTGCATCATGACTGTGGGCATGCCCCTGTATCCAGGGTGGTTGGGGTCATAGCCTTGTCCATAGGGGTAACCATGCATATAGGGCATGTAGCCTTGGTGCTGTGCTAGTGGTGATGAGAACTGCATGTGAGGATTAGAACGAGAGTCTTTGCTCATGGCCCGGTGTTCCTCAGAAGTGATTCTGGGATCACTACCCTCTTTGCTGTCCTCCTTGGGCCCACTTTGACTGTCCTTGGGCCTGGGCCTGTCATCCTTTAATTTACGATCGCGCTCCCGTTCTCTGTCCCTTTCATCTTTCCATCGAGGTGGCTGTTGCTGGTGTTCATCTTCTGCTTGGGGCTTCTGGCTCTCGGGATACTGCTGAAGGCGGGAAAAAGGATCCAAGTCAACACAAATCAGAAATAATTCTATTAAAAAATGATTGAAATAATTTTAAAAACCATTCTCACAGTGGTTCTAATCCTGTTATATTAGGTTGGTATTTACCTGTCGGTACCACATAGCCTGCTCCATCCCTGCCTGACCTCTGGACTCCAGTGCTTGCTTGGAGTCTTCCTTTCCATGGTGGCCCCCTTCGGTCAGCTTCATCTTCAGCCCCTCAGCTTGCTGGGACTTTGGGTCCTCCACCTTTATGCTTCCCAGGGATTTGGAGGAGGGCTCAGACGGCGAGTCCCTGGATTTACTTGGGGGCTGCGACGTCTTTCCAAGGTCTGACTGACTTGGGGCTTTGGAGAGGCTTGGCGGCATGGGGCTTTTTTGTTTCCACTCCTCCTTCATGGAGGCCTCTCGTTCTTTTATGGCTACGTCTGACTTCTTCTCAGCAGCACGATGCTGTTCAGCCATCTGTCGCTGCCGCTCCTCGTACTGTTGCCGGTAGGCTGGGTTGGTGTTTATCAAGTGGTTATGGTAGGCTTGATCGGGATGGTACGCATATGGCGGGACATAAGCATACTGGTTGTAGTAAAGAGGCTGCATGTACATGTTGGATCGCTGTTGGATGACTGAGGGTTGTTGCTGTTGCTGCTGCTGTTGTTGTTGTTGCTGCTGTTGTTGCTGTTGTTGTTGCTGCTGTTGTTGTTGTTGCTGTTGTTGTTGCTGTTGCTGTTGTTGCTGTTGTTGCTGTTGCTGCTGCTGCTGCTGCTGCTGCTGCTGCTGGCCAGGACCACTACTGTCAGGTTTGCGGTCTTCATGAACCTCAACCTTGACTTTTTCCTCACCTTGGTCCTGGTCATCTTCCTTTTTGATCTTAACCTGACCTTCAGCCACTGGTGTGCCTGGATTGGGCCCGCCAGGACTGGGGTTGACGTAATTGGGTGAGTAGTAAGTGTCGTAGTTGGGATAGTTGGGATATTCTTTGCTGGGTGTCTGGTTTGGAAAGAGCGCCTTTTTGACACTTTCCCTGATGGCTTGGTCCTCTGTCCTGACTTTGACGCCTTCAAGTCTCCCTTCACCATCCTCACCAGCATCTGAAATGTCTGAATATGCTGGGCTATTGGTTTTGACTGAAGAGTTATCAGCACCATTCTGGTTCACCACGTGAAGCGGCGTGAGAGGCTGTGGCATTCCACTGCCATCTATCCGACTGGCTACACCAATGGATGGGCTAGGGGCATTGTCAGAAAAGCTGTAAATCTTGTCAGCCTCAGCCTTGATACTGGCCAAGCGACTCTGATGTGGGTCTGAGGAACCATTGAGGAGTCCTTCCCCTTTATTTCCTTGATCACAAGGTTCAGAGTATGGAAGCTTTCCTTCCTCCAGTTTTCCTCCCTTTCCCGGAGGCTTGGGGCTGTCAGCCTCCTTCCCCCCATCTTTTTTCTTCTTGTCTTTCTTCTTCTTGTCTTTGGAGCTACTCGAGGCAGGGTCTCCAATGGCAGGAGGTTTAGGCTGTGTGCCTTTCATTTGGGGACTCTTGGGGATTCCTTGTATCATTGGGGTAAGCCCCGGGGAAGAATTTGGGTTTCCAGGAGGAAAAGAATACATCTGTTGGGATGTTGTAGAGCCAGAGCCTATGGGCCGTGGTGACTTCATGTTCTTCTGGGACATTTTATCAGCCTTTGTGCCAGTGCTACCCTTTTTGGACTTGTCTGACCCCCTCTTATCATCTATACCATCGTTACTGGCCTCATCAGTAAGGCATAGCCCATCTTCGCACCCGTCTGTCGGTGTACCCCCCGTTTCTGGATCGGTCTCAGCAATTTTCTTTTTACTCTGCTTTGAACCAAACTTTCCAGGAGATGGGGAAGGGCTTTGAGCATCAAAGTTCCTGCCTTTTGGAGTAACCGAACGTGCTGGAGACAAACATCCTTTCTGAGAGATAGAGGCTCCATTACAGTTCCCTGGTTCAGGGTGGAGAGTTGAGTCCTCTCCATATTCACTGTCTCCATCTATTTCCAACTTTATATCATCATCATTGTGGGCACGGGCTTGGTGGTACTTCAGACCATTGATGTGCTTGTACTTCTTGTTGCAGTTAGGGTGTGGGCAGTCAATGAGAACTGGAGAGGGGCAGCTGCGATCGAGGGGAGGTGGAAGTGGCTCAGTCTTAATAGAAGGGATAGGGAGACCTGTCGGTCCCACCCCTCCACTATTAGAGTTTGTCCGCATACGTTTGTTGCCTTTGGTGTCCTCTGAGCTGGAATTGGGTTCCATGTCTGAGGCTGGTTTGGTCTTGCGTTTTCCAGCTGAGGAGGGACTGGCCTTGATGTCCTCTGTGTTGGAGTTAGGCGGGGTGCGGCGCTCTGATGGCGTCTGGCTACCCCTCCGGCCTTTGCTGTTAGAGGCAGCAGCACGCGTCTTGTTGTTGGTGGTGCCCTTGTTGTCTGATGAGTTGCTGTTCTCGTTGATAGGGGTGTTGCTATTCGGTCTCATTCGCTTACCTCGACCACGGCCATTCCTCATCTCGAGATCACTTGTAGGGGATTCACAAAACCTGCAGTAGTGGGGAAAGATTAAAATGAGTGATCAGTAGTTGATTTAAATACAAATCAGTGTTTAGTTTAGGTTCTAAAATGATACAATGGAAATTAAGGTACTCATTATTTTTAAATCAACACTGCTGTAGGGACTGAATAATACTGTGCTAATTTTCCCCATTGGACTTTTTCATTTTTATTGTTTTACAACAATAAATCTCTGTAAATATAATTGGCTTTTATGACCATTATCGACAGTCTTTCATGTTAAAAGTACAACTAATTGATCTTAATATGTATATAATAAGTATAATAATAAGTATATCCCTAAATCCACCCGAACAAACAATTGTTTTCAGTGTAATGGAGATGACCTGTATGTGCAGGTCCAGAAGTGTTTCACAGCTACAGTGCAAACTCCAGTAACTCTCATTATCCATGAGGTAACTTAAAACATTTGATTGTCAAGTTAAAAGGAAAAACAGAAATGTTAATGATCTCTAAATGCAACGATCTCCTATTCTCTTAAAGACACTATTGTTTACCTGTATTCAAAATGTATGTACAAGATTTTAGGCCATTTCTGTGCTTGGCCATACCCTTCCTAAAGTTTGTTTGTCCTACAGGAAGTCTGCTTATGCTTTCACTGAGAATCTAATATACAGTTATTTACTGTACTGGTATGCCAAATAACATGCCACAATTACACATAGTCTCCTAGGAATCTCAGAAAACAGAAAAGTCATAACAGTAATACCAAGGAAGACAATACTAGGAGGTTTAAGTCCTTTAGATTCCTAAACCAATATAATAATAAACAATAGCTATGATATCAAAATATGTCCACCATTGTTGTGTCCCTGTCTTCTAATAACATACTGATCTGATATTTTTGTGCTCTATAAGTGAGTAAGCACTTTAAACAAAGCTACATGACTTTCCAAATGAAGTCCATACAAACATTATTTGAAAAGACAGCAGTGAACATTCCGACTGCTTTGTAATCAAAACACAGAGTCATTCAAATACTTAAAATAGCAGTTTGGCCTTATCTCTCCATAACAGTAATGTAATTATCTTTTCTGCACAGCAGTGAAGGTTAGCAATCTGTGACAAAGAGAGACACCGGGCTGGTATGACTCACAGCTTCCTCTACAAGTCTCTCCAAACAATTTCAGACCCAGCAGGGGATGTGAATACATCCGTAGTCTGACAGTGGTAGAGGAATTTAGACTCATTACAAGCCCAAGTTTATATTCAGTCCGTTGAAAGCTTTTTGAATAATTCATGGTGTGTCCCTAATGTAGTTGTGCTGCAAACTGTAAGACTGTCTTGGTGCAAATACAGCCCAGCAAACTTCACCTACTGAACATTATTGTGATATACTGTGATACATTAGTGTGATACAGCCTCTTCTTGTTTTCCATTAGCACTGCTTTAATCTCTGTTTTTTTTTTCTATTGCACTTAACCATGCATTTCAAATATAGATTTATATTTACTTTTAGAAACAGTGCAGGTGTTCTAAATCAAAGCAAGTGCTTGTAGATGTATTCTACACAACCTGTGTATTTTGCATAACAAAAGCAAATACCCAGAAATTACAAACACCTTAAGCTAGCGCCCACATAGCACTGATCCTAAAAAATTGCAGCCTTTGTGATAGAGAATGTTATACAGTGTTGAGGAAAAGCTATTAGTTCAATAATTGGATTCTGCAATCTGGCCTGTTAGAGTAGCTTTCTATTTCAACAACTACCTCCTGGGACATCAGCCATTTGCCAATGAATCCTGCTTCCCCCGACTAGAGATAAAGACTAACATGGACTTGGAAGGTCTTTCTGCTCACAGGCAAGTTTGTGCATTGGGCCATATATCTTTGAGCTGATGCTACTACAGCAGATTCATATCACACAGAATATGAAAAGGTTAAGAGACCAAGAGCAGCTTGGATAGAAAGGATGCATCAATGATTCATGGCAATCATAAATTCTTTTCTACCTTGACATTTACCACTACCATGTGTGACAGTAATTTCTTTGTAAAGTGCAAATACTATGCAAGATCAGTGCATGTAGCTTTAGTTCTGACAACACCCAACAAGCGACGTACCATTAGTAGAACAAGTGCAAATTAGATGATGCATATTTAAATATATTTATGCCCCCCCCGCTTTCTCCAGTTGAAATAGAAACAGAACAGAGCAATGCTCCTTACCTGGGGGGAGCCCAGTCATGCCGTGTACAGTCCAACAGGGTGCCCACATATGTCTTGTTTCTCCAAGTAACATTGACCACCAGCATGCCTGCGAGACAAAGAATAAAAGAGGTCATTTATTTTGTGCTAACCATGACAATGACATACTACACATTAAAAATAGATATATACAAACAACAGAGAATGTTTAACAGTGAGATTAATATATAACCATCTGCACTCTGTGAGCAATAAGTCCACCGTGGCTGCTGCATCAATGCGTTGATCTTTGCTAAAGGGTGTGACATGCAAGACAATTATATAAGTGTAAGATCCTTTTTTAATCTTCTTCAAACAGTAAAGCCGGAGGGCCAAGACTGACTGATATCTTCTAAATGACTTGGAACAGACTCAACTGCAGTCAGTATTGTAGGACCTTTGTAACATACCAGCAGAAGGTCTCACTAAGAATGATCACACTGAGGTTACCAGGGAATACTCACTGAACACCATCTCCATTTAAATAAGCCATCTCACAGTACAGACGATTTCCCAGAAGGAGAATTATTTGGAAGCAAATATTTTTTTTTTTCATTCCTCTATCTCACTTTGCAGCCAAGAAATGTACTACCTTGGGGAGAATATGGATCTACTACTACAGCTTCTTAAAAACAAGCAACAAGCACTTGGATTAAACCAATTCAGTGTGAATGGTTCAGTTTGACAGACTGTAACTGAGTGTGCAAGAGAAGTGCCTCGACTTCACTGGTACTGCTGCAATCTGTCACACTTAGAAGCTTCTATGTTGCCATTTGGCTAGTGTGAATTTGGTATCACTCGGTGTGAGCTACACAATCCCGACATGCGTTGAGTGCGATACCCAACCTCGCATTTAAAAATCTAAAATTAGTTCCAGAAGATCACACGACTCTCTATGTATGTTTCTCCTTAAGAAACCAAATACTGTTCATCTGGCAGCAGCTTGCATGTCATCAAAATGTCACCATCAAGTATGCAGATTTGTACAAAATGACTAAACTAAAACTCTTCACCACGTTGGACATTTAACTGCAGTAAAGCCACTTTACACTAATGCAAAAAAACAGCAGAATGGCTGCTGTTGAAGGCCATTTTAAACGGTCAGCATGGGTGAGGCAGATGAATGATAATTTGCAGCTTTTGCCCATAAATTCAAAAGTAAATCATCAACCAAACAGCTTCAGAGGATTAGCAGCAAGCACTGTGCACAAAAACATTCTGAATTTATTGCCCCCACCATCCCCCTCACTCCCTGGTGGTGACCTCAGGTTGCCACTTCAGCACTGCAGAGAAACTGGAGGCTGCAGTGAGCTAACTTATCTAATGGCACAGGAATGCTGGCTGGCAGCTTCCGTCCCTCCGAGCATTTTATTAGCTTAGGAAACCTCTCTTGCTCACCCCATTTTCCCTCTCTCCTTCACCCTCACCCTCATTTCCTCTTTTCAATGGTATAACCATCCCCGGCTTACAATCTTTTTTTTCCCTCCCACACACAAGTCACAGTTCAGACCTCATTTTTCTCTTGCTGCCTTTGGCATAAAGCAGCGAGTATATAAGGCATTTATATATGTTTACAGGAACCTGCTGACACTTGGCCACAAGTCTCATCCTTCAACCTTTGGCCTGAAAACAAGAGTGCTTGGTCAAGGCGAGATCCAACTGCAAATGTCGTTTGTGTGTGCGCGGGGCAGTGGAGGGGTTCTTGAGTTCGGATTTCTGTCACATTAAAAGAACACAGACCTTTTCTAAAACGCCTTCAACAGCCCGCCCCCTAAGCTCTCCAAACACTCCAACACAAAATGGCTCTGGCAGCTGGTTGTGGCAGGATGTAAATCAAGGCAGGGCAAATGAATGAGTAGCCTTTCATGATGTGCAGGATATAGTCTTCCCTGCTTTCTCCAACGAGGGGTTTAGAAATTATACCATGAGCTTGTCTTTAATCATTCTAAATTAACATTCGGTCTTTATGTTTCACTGTTTCCTCACTTCAATAACTGTGACAATAGATGAGGATGGATAGAATTGTAGAGTTATTATTGTCAGCATTTCCTTAAAGAAATAGTAAATAGTATTATTTGCCAAGAACTTTTTTTTTTATGCTAAGCTAACCAGCGGTATTTGACAGGCAGACACGAAAGTGGGTTTGAACTCTTAACAAGAAAGCAATTAACAGACTGCCAAAGATGTGTAACAATTCCTGTGAGGATACTATTTATTTAACAATTTATCGAAGGGTACGTGTAGATTACTAAATAAAGCACACATGCTAGTATTCTAAAATCAAGTGACTTCTAATGAACACTGCATTTAATTCCAAGAGCTTTTGACCTTTAATAATTTAAAAATAAATACTGGATATACAGATAAATCAGAATTTCAACCCTAAGTTGACACTGATACAGCATTGAGTCATCTTGAATATACAAGCTCAGTCAAGCTGAATGAAGAGTATCTCAAAAAACAATCTTGAAGCTACTGCAAATGTTTTCTTTAATCGTGACTCAGGTCTGACCTTTGGCTCAGTTATCAAGGACTTTTACAACCGTGTTCGGAAGAAATTCCAGGGTGTAGTTGTAGCTGTGCAATACGGATCACTGTCCTGTTGGAACATAAATCTTTGCCACAATCTGAATTTGCATGCATTTCCCTCAACTACAACTCTCAGGTGTCTGCCAGTGAAAAGCAGTCCGCGGCGTAGGGTTGCAAACACTTTGCTCCATAAACGCAAAAGTGGACGACAGCTGATGAATCAATTAACCTTATTGAACTTTTATGCTCTAAATACATTAAAGATTGATTGCGTTAGAAGTGCTTGATGTGTTATTATGTTAAGATGAGGAGTAAACACCCCAATCATTAAGCAGTGTATAAATACTGGAAGTGTACTAACACATGGATACACTACACTACTGTTAATGGACATCCACCAACGAATACTCAGCAGATAAAACTATATTATAACCTATAAAACCAGGCCAATAACTTCATTTTCACTACATCAATTTCTTTGCTTCAAGCTCAGAATCTTTGACATGTCGTTTTGTAGCCTCTATGCTGGCTGTTTTATGTTCATTTTCTAAGAGTGACGTCCTTCTGGCCACATGTTGGAGCCGAGGAACTCTGTAATCCTGTCAGAGTGGTCCTTGGCTTCTGGGTCACCTCAGATCTCTCTGCCTCTGCAATACTTTCTGTGAATGCTAATAAAGTAGTTCCCTGAACGTTATGTGGGACATCTCAAGGACATTCTGAGAAATCTGCGTGCATCTTAACTCCAATGGGAATGGTGCTTAAAAAAACAAAAAACAAGACATGGTTACTCACTCAAAATGTTGCAGCACTTCATGTTTAATTAATCTGTTTTAAAAAGGCAGGCAGAATCTGTGCTGCTGAAGGCTTTCAGTGTGTTTATGCTGACAGAAACTGAAAACGACAGACCAAGTTATCATATCGGATTCTTTATCTCGGGCATAAGTCAAAGAGGTTTTCATTGCTGACACCTAAGAAGTAGCATCAGAACCCTGAAATTCAAGTTCCAAGCCACACAGTTTAACTCTCTTTAAGGTCTGAGGTAAACACAGGCTGGATTATTCTAAACCAGTCGAAATAATAATAATAGAGAAATGACTTTACATCATTATTGCAACAGTGTAATTTCTGCTCGATTATCTGATTTTCTCAAGATAATGATTCTCATGAAAGTGAAGAATAACAATCAGTTCCACTCTACTGCACGCAAAAGCAGAGTTTCTTTTTACAAAATGTACCTTGTTGAGGTGACAGTTTCTCTTCATTAAGCAATTTATTAATCATTATTGTGCTGAAATTGACTTATTAAACAATTAATTTATATGTTGACTGCACATCCACTAGGGCTGGTGGGCTTGGAAATAGAAGAGCTGGGGATGGTGGTTAAACATGATGGGATGTTTTCAGATGCGCAGCCAGTGAATCCTTTTTTTTTTTAAATAATTATTAATAACAGTTCTAGTTGATAGAAAACTTGTTTCAAGCTGAATCTACTTTTGACATAATTTACAACACATTGTTTTGACTGGACTACCTAATAGAGTCTCTTGAGAGGGGTGGATATGAATTCATAGAATTTCTTGGCAATATCATAAAAATATGCTCAAGGGTGCGCAAAAAGATTAAGATTAAGTTCCAATGCTGAAAGCTGAAAGCCATTTGAATTTATCTGTACACTTTCATCCTAAGAATAATTTTCAAGCTGTCAGGACAAAGATGTCAACGCCTAGTCTGTCTAAACATGGAAAGCTCTTGACAAAACAGCCCAAACTAATTTCCCTGTGGCAGGAAGCAACTCACACAAGAAACTGAGATGACTTTCCATTCATGATCATTTGTTTACACATGGGGAGTTACATATTAGTGTTTCTGTGAGCCATGATCTCGGGCTTGACTGACTAGATTTGTTGCTAGGCAAGAAACAGACTGATTTGGAGCAAACCCAGTCCCCCCCCCTTGCGTCAGCCTTATTAGGGTCACTCATGACAGCTGAGTGAAGCCCACATTACTGAGAGGAATTGGCCTGCAATTTTACCACTCGTTTCCTTTCAATGCCGTCGAAAACAACAAATGGCAGCTCTCCTTGTGCACCAAACTCCACCGTCTACTTGTATAGGATTACTTGAACAAGAGGGTAATGTGAGGGGACAAATTAAGTCAGGAGTAGGTTGTCTGCTGCATGGGTGACTGCCCCCTCCAGCCCTAAATCTCCCCCCTCCTCCCTCCTTAACACATTTCATTAGGTTGCAGTGGGGCCAAAATATCAGGTCCTCTGCTGCTGGTGAGGGCTGTGGGTTCACTGAATGACCTCTGCTCTGCTTCAACTCAACAGGAATCCAGTGGGGTTAATGGCATTTTCACTGACTGACCTTGTCAAAATGCCTTTGTTATCTTTGAATATGGAAGATCACGTCTGTGTAATGATTGAGTTTGACATTATATGAATGTTCTCACAAATATCAAATTAAAAAGGTTACGCTTCGTATCTAAATATCTTCAGGAGCCTTGTGACTGAAACTTTAAATCAGGATTAAAAGTCTCAGT